AGCCCTCGCCGCAATCGCCGCGCGCTTGGCGCGAGCACTCTCCAGATGCCGAGCCTCACGCCCAGCAACGGCCTCCTCGCGTTTCGCGAGCTGCTCGCCCAGCTGGCGCGAGGCCACCTCACGGCGGTTCACCTCAGCTTCGCGCTCGGCGAGTGCGACGTCCCGTTCCCGGCACGCCTCTTCCCGGAGCCGTAGCTCCTCCGCGCGGCGGTCCGCTGAAGCTTTCACGGCGAGGGTGATCCGGTCACGCTCAGCTGCGACCTCTTCACGAAGGCGAAGGGAGGCCTCCACCTCCGCCGCTGTTCTCTCGTGGGCGGCCAAGGTGGACTCCCGCTGATCGAGCAGACGCGCTCGCTCCTCCAGCACCTGAGTCCGCCTTTCCAGCTCCTGAGCTCGCTGCGCCTGCTCCTGGTCGCGCGCGTTTTGCTCACGCTGGCTCTGATTGAGGACCTCGATTCGTTGACGAATCGTGGTCTCGAACTCCTGCGCGGAGCGGGCACGCTCATCCAAGGCCCTGCGTTCGGCCTCGAGCGCCGCTGTCTGAGCCCGCAGCGAGGCATTGGCCTCCGATACCCGCCGCTCTTGGGCAACAGCTGCGTCGAGGATACCGCGGGCGTCCTTGATCCTCTTCGCCAAATCCTCGGCATGGGCCTCGTACTGGAGGCGGATGTCACCCAGTGCTTCGTCCAGGACGCTCAAGGCAACCAGCGCCGCCTGCCGCTCTTCCTCCACCTCTCGCATGATGGAGTCCAGCGACTCCTCACGCGCCTGGATTTTGGCTAGTTGGGCTTGGCGCATTTTGTGTCCCACCCTCACCATGTCGTCCATGGCGTGGCGCCCCTCGTCAACTCGCGCGCGGTCCGCGGCGAGCTGTGCCCATTCAGCCTCCAGGGCCGCTCGCTCTTCTGCCAGGGCTTGAACTTGGGCTTGAGCCCCTCCCGGACGGTGGAATCGGCGGCGGCGAGCACCTGCAGGAGCGGCTCCATACTTGCCGGAGTCGGAGAAGAAAAAGTCGCGGCCCGCCCCTGTGATGATGGAGTGCTGCTGGATCCCCACGAGACTGGGGGCTGCTCTCGCCCCCCCCCTTCTGCGCGACCAGCCCCGAGGGCGTCCCAAGTGCAAGGGGGAGCGGCCGTCCCTCTCGCCCCCCGCCTCGGGTCCTCGGGTAGATTCGGCCTCGGCCTCAGGCTCGGGCCCGCCCCCAATTTTGGCCTCGGCCTCAGGCTCGGGCCCGCCCCCGATTTCGGCCTCGACCTCGGGCTCAGGGCCGCCCTGTCCCTCGGCATCCGAGCCGCGACCTCCCTCGCCCCCCGATCCCGGGTGGCGCTCCGCATGAACCCTGGTCTCGGAGTCGCCCCCAGGAGGGACGTCATCATCGCTATCGCCCACGGCGGGACGAGTCCCGGCTAGGGTTCGCTCGGGTCCGGACCCGGTATGCGGCCCGTGGGCCCCGCCGAGGGGCTGTGAAGGCCCCGCGGCCTTGGATCGGCCAAGCCCGGGCCGCTCCGATCGTTCGGATTTGGTCGCCCGCGAAGGGTCGGACCCCGAGACCCCCTAGGAAGGAATCTCGCTACAAGGGAACTCAGATCGCGTTAACAAAGAAAAAGAAAAGGAGGGAACAAGAGATCGAGCTGGATAAAAGCACCGAGGTGGGTGCCGGCGATCGTACCTGCGGGGAGGGCGGTTGAAAGTCCACTTCGGAGGCTCAATGAAGCTCCCCCGACACGGCTCCGTTTGTCCTATCTTCCGGAGCCGTTTCTTTTTCCGTCCGGCCTCAGGCCCGGCAGGGCGCTTGTGGCCCGCTGGCGGACGATCCGCCACGCGCTCGGCGCCCCCTCCACGCGGGGGAGAGGGCGGTCGAGATTCGGACATCTTCCGCTTCTCTTTCAGGTCGCTGGCCGAGTCGTCCCCGGGTCCGCGGTTTGGGCCGGGAGACCTGGAGCTCCCACCTCCGCCGGGTCCGCTTGTCCGACTCCCGCCTGCGGTCGCGCCACCGCCACCAACACCGGCAGTGCTACCACCGGTGCCGCCCCGGCAGGACCGGCTCCTGCCGGCGCCAACAACCGACATCATGGCCAGGATGCTCTCCCGGTCGCGGTCGCAGCAGAGGGGAAGGATCCCGTCTGGAATCAGAGTTTGCTCGGCGGAGTCCAAGCCCAGTACTCGCCGAATCACCATCTTCGCGTCCTCCTCCCCCCAATCCCAGCGCTCACCCACATGCGTGCGCATGGGGTCGTTGGGACCAGTGTACTCCCACGCGCCATGGGATCGATCCTGGAGAGGTGCAATGCGGCGGCGGAAATAGTCACCAAAGACCATCGCCCCTGTGAGGCCCAGGCTTCGCAGGCCCCTAAGGTGATCCCACACCGCGTCGTACTCTTCGCCCAGTTCCGAAACTGCCAGCCATGCGGCGGATCTTTCGGGAGGACCGACGGGAAGCCGAAGTCGTGGATGGTCCGGCAATGCGGTGTAGAACCAGTCCTTCTTCCAGTCCTCCCATTTCTTGCGAAGATGACTCTCGATGTATTGCCCCGCTGTGCCTGGCCGGGGTTGGAAGTAACATCCCCCCACCACCGCACCTTGCAGCAGCTGCGGGATGAAGAAAGACTGGAACAGCCGCATCGTCGGCCGCACCCCGATGAACATCTCACACAGATGCGCGAAGATGGCCAGCGTCATCACGACGTTGGGTGCGAGATGCAAGGCATGGATTTCATAGAAATCCAAAACCTCATGGAAGAATCCAGAGAACGGCGGAATCAACCCCGCCATAGCAAAGGACAAGAGATGCACGGATCGCTCCGGATACCGCGGCCGCGGCCGCAACTCCCCCGCCCTCACGACGGCGCCTTCCGGCATGATCTTGCGGGGGAGGCTAAGGTGTCTATCCGCCGTAATGCGTGATGCCGGGAGCACCGTGTCGCCAACGTCTTGAGCCATGATGGCCGGCGGAGAAGCGGCGGAGGGCTTGGCGCGCAGAATAGTGTGAAGTGGCGAGAATGTTAGGGCTTAAGGAGCAAGAAGACGAGTGGGCAGTTGGCGAAAGGAAGGAGGCAAAGTCCTCGCCTCCATATCCTTTTATCCTCGCCTCACCCACGCTCACCTCCTCGTTTCACGCCCTCACGGTTGCCCCCACGATTCTCGCGCCCGCGGTTGTCTCTTCGTTTCCCGTGTCCACTCATCACGTCGCCCATTGAATCTGCGCCCTGCATTTAGTGCGCCTATCAGCGGCACACTCGAAGTAGGGCGCACAACGGTCACGGGCACAACCTGAGCGAACCGTCGCCACTACCGCCGCATGAGTAGCGGGCAAGGGAATCGAGGCGTGGCCTAACCGACCCCCTGATTTTCGCGCCTTAAACATCACCATCATCAGCACGGTCAGTGGTGGCAAACCGCTGCCGTGGTTAATACGCCAACCTGGCCATTCGGCGACATTTCCTTAGATTCCCTACCGGACCCACAACCCCAGCTTGGGAAGTCGTGAGGCACCACGTCAGAACCGACCTCAGGAGGTCAGTGTCCGATATGGTGCCGAGGGCTACTGACGGAGATATGGGCCCGGGGGTATGTGAAGTGGGGGAAAGTTACCTTTCCATCCAGCCGCGTGGCTCTACAGCCTGGCCCTACTCCCGCGCCTCGCGAGTCACAGAAGCGGCCGGGGGGGCCTCAGGGTGCCACGTCGTGCCCCTCGGGCTCTCCCGCTGCCTCGCCCTGAGGCCCTCGCCTAGCTGCCATGTGGCGGGAGGAGGGAGCAGGAAGGGGGCCCAGGCTGAACAGCCATCAATGCGCAGCGCCCCAACTGTCCCTCGTCACATTTAATGCGGTAAGGGCAGACGTGCGGTGCCGCCTAGTTGACCCACATCAATCGAACGTGACCAGTCTGTGACCGGCCTGTTGCCGGTCACATCCGATTGAACGGGCGGCCGTGCCCCCACGTCGCCTCTGTAACAGGCGGAGTGGAAGTAGGTATGACCCGTCCCATCAAGGCGTCATTCAGGGTTTCCTCCATGAGAAAAGGACCACCACAAGTCTTCACCCATTTATGAGGGAATGACAGGGCTGTCCCCCGTGTCAGGCGGGGGGTGGCGCTGGGTCCCACTCAAGGACGGGCTGCTGCTTAGCTTCCGAGCGAAGGCACGGCTCGTGGCCCGGTCAAGGTAAGGTGGGTCCCCCTCCCAAGGAAGGATAGGTAGAGGCGGTGCATGTGGTATCCCCTTGAACTATAAAAGGAGGACCTTGCCCACCGAGCAAAAGGATGACTCCCAGAAAACCTGAACTCTAGGAGAAGAAGGGGAGAAAGCTCTCCGGAGTTAAAGAACCCTTGTAACTCTTAACCATAATCTCAAACACAGGAGTAGGGTATTACGCTCCACAGCGGCCCAAACCTGTATAATCCGATTGTGTGCAAGCTAGCTAGTAGTCTTAGGGGCGGATACGCGATTTCTAAGAGGCGAGCCTCTTCCCCCGGCCAAACTCACGAAAGGGGGGTCTCACGACCTCCCGCTATCGAGGGACTTCCCTCGACAGTGTGCAAGATCACTGATTTAAAATTTAGTATGATCATAAAGTTTTTCATTTTAAAGGTTCACTCTGGGAACATTAATGATTTGCTACTCAACTAAGGCAAGAGAGTTACTTCACTATCACATTCTTAACACTAACAGAAACTAGATTGAGCTGTAACTCTTTAAGTTGTTTCACTGTAACGATAAGGAATCAAGGCACGAGATGTGATGAGTTTGTTACTTTCGAGAATAAACTAATTTGGTTAGTTTTATTTCCACATCTGTTTATTTAAAAAGAAGCATGTAATTTTGACAATATTACCAACCAGCAATAACAATAATAAACCTTTTCATTATATAGCCTTCCCTTTGTTTCATTTGATATTTGGACAATAAGCAATTTCATCAAAAAAACGATGCATATTTAATCATATTTTTTTAGCAATGCTACAAGATTATGTGAGCACATTAGATAATTGCACTTGCATTATATGTGGGCAAGATACCTTTTGTATTTTTCACATTGCACTTACAATAATCATTGAGTCCCGCAACAACACGCGGGGTATTATCAGTTAGAATGATGATACAATCCATCCTTATATAGATGGAGAGAGGACCCAGTCTAATTCTATCCAACAAACTCTATCCTTATCCTTAGGGCCTCGATCCCTCGGCCCACTACCCATGACATATACTTGTAGTTGGCTCTCTGAACTTGATTAGATTCACAAAGTCAACAATTGGTAGTAGTACTCCCTCCGTCCCATAATATAAGGGATTTTGGACAGATGTGAGACGTCCAGATTCATTGTATTAGGATGTGTCACATCTACCCATAATCCCTTGTATTATGGGACTGAGGGAGTACTAGCAGGCAATAGCGACCACCTGCTCAACCAGTTTTTTCCCCTGCTCAACTCCATGTCTCCATCATCTATTCATCTATCGCAAATTCAAATCATAGCCAAATCACTCGGCATTTGGAGTGCATCGATTTTATAGAAATTCATTCCATCACATCGCTACTCGATCCTAAGCCAACGACAAAGCCCCCGCATTGGCAATGGCAATGGCGCCATCATTTTATTTGCTTGTTTATTTCATCAATTTCACGCAACAGTGACACGAGTACCCGATCGACGCGAAGGTCGCAGCACCAAGTCATCAATCAACGAGTGACGAAATCCACGACGAGGTCCATCATCTTCGCCGCCGCCGCCGTGCCGGGACGCGTGAGGTGGAACAAGTGGTCTTCCCCCGGCGTGTCCACCAGCTCGGCCTCCCCGTGCCACCGGCTCGCCACGAGCGCCGCGTGGTACGCCCTCCCTTTCCCCGCCAGGAAGTCGTCCCCGGCCACGGCCACCATCACCCTCCTGCACGGCAGCGCCGCCAGCGACGGCGCGCCCTGCTGCACCGTCGGGCTCAGCCGCGGGTCGTCGACGCGGACGTCGGGGCTCCCGCACATGAACCGCCACTCGCGGCGGATCCGGTCCTCGAGCGCCGGGCCCATGGTGTTCGACGCGTCCCAGAAGTAGGGGTGCATCAGGAGCACGCCGGTGATCCCCGCGCCGCCCGGGAGCGGGGCGGCGGCGGCCCGCATGGCGACGTTGTGCGCGATGTTCGCGCCGGCGCTGTCCCCGGCGATGAACACCCGCGACGCGTCCCCGTGCGCGGCGAGCCACGGCTCCGGATCGACGGCGCCGGGGGCGGCGGCGGTGGCGACCGCCCACGCGAGCGCCGCCCACGAGTCGTCGTACGCGGCGGGGAGCGGGTGCTCGGGCGCGAGGCGGTACTCGACGGACACCGCGACGACGCGGGCGCGGGAGGCGAGCGCGTTGAGGTAGCGGTGGTACGTCGGGGACGTGGCCGACTCGACCATGAAGCCGCCGCCGTGGAAGTACACGAGGATCGGCAGCCTCTCGCCGGCGGCGACCGCCGGCGGGAGGTAGAGGCGCACGGAGAGGTTGGTCGCCGGGTCAACGGTGACGTCCTTGGAAGCCACGCCCGTGGGCTCGTCGAGGGACGCCGCGACCGTGTCGGTGCCGAGCAGGCGCTCCACGCGGCCGCTCACGTAGACGCGGATGAACGGGAGGAGCTCCACGGCGACCGCGTCGGCGTCGGCGTCGGTAGAAGCCATGCGGTGCGCGTGTGGACGCTGGGGTGGTGACGTCAGCTACTGAGATGGAGCCTGGAGAGTTCTATCGCTATGGCAGAAGGCTTTATTAACAACTCACCAGCTGTCGAATTTAAAGCTTTAAACACGCGGATTAAAAGATTTAAACACGGAATTAATAGCCGCTTGGAGCATGCTCGGCTGTGCGCCACCCGTTGCACTGCCAGGTGGTCAGTTGACAGCAGGCAGTCGTCGCATTCACATTCCTGTTCTTACTCTTTTTTTTTTCTGTTTTGTGGGAGGAGTTTTCACGTGGTTAAGTTGGGCCGTAACGGAGCCCACGAGTGTCCTAACTCACGTACGCAGCCTAGAGAATTAGGCCCAGAGAAAGAAAGCCGCAGGAGGAGTTCGCCCAGATATGTGACTGTCACTGATATTTTCAACATAATTTTTTTTAGTGTTTGTTTTTAAGTCGCTAGGAACAAATATATAAAAGTTTTATCCATAAATTAATATATTCTCTAATAAGCCGTTGTAGCTTATTAAGAAATTTGGGCAACCGTAATTTTTTTATTAAGGAAGCTTGTTAAGTCCTCCACCGGGATGAGGCAACAGTCGACGGCTGATGAGCATGGTGTGGAGCGCAATGTGGCTGGCGCTCCAGCCCATGAGCTTAATGAGGCCGACGCCGTTTGCCGCGCTCTCGGCCTCCACGTGCCAGACAGTGATGGCCTCCTGCGTCACCTTCACCGCTGTGTGGAACCCGAACAACCGGTTGATAACGCCAACGTGTTTTCCACCGTCTTGGGGATCCCCGCCACCACCACGGCAAGCCGCTGCTGCTGGACCTCATGGTGGATCGTCACCGCACCGCGCATGATGTTGTCCGCGCCGACGTCATACACTTGGTTGAACCTGTGCCACTCGATGGCGTCCACGATCCTGGTGAGGTCGAACCCGCCGCGCGACGTGCCGAGCACCATCCCGCAGGCCTTGTTCTAGTGCTCCACCGTCGCCGGATCGAGCGGGACAAACTCCTCGAAAATGACCGTAGGCGGCAGCAACAGCGCTGTCGCCGCTGGGGTGGGACAGAGGAGGAGCAGAGGCGGCGGAGGGGGAGGAGGATGGAGGTAGTGGCGCGCGAGGGAGGAGCCTGGAAGGGAAGGTAGCGGTGGCGCGCAAGGTCGCCGAGGGTGCCACCTGCTACCCGCCTCGCTCGTCTGCAGGAAGGGAAGATGAAGAGGGGGAGAGAGAAGAGAGAGAGGGGAGAGGGAAGAAGGGAGGTGAGGTGACATGTGGGGCATAGGTTTTATTATTTTTCCAATATCGAATTGCCACGTAAGTGCCACGTTAAATGCCACGTGGGACAAAGACGAAGTCAAACCAGCCACATTGCCATCACATCAGCTAAAACCACCTTCCAAACCGTCGAGGGACCTCGTTTACACTGATTTTGATAGCTCGGGGACCGCCGGACCAGTTGTATCTGGTTTTTGGTTTTTGGGTTCAAGGACGTGTAAAGTTAAGGGACCCTCAAATGAACTTAATCCATCACACCATAACCCATAAATAGATTAGGCCTGTCTAAGACGATAGACAGATTAGGTCCATCTAAGGCCAGAAATGATTGAAATGGCATGGCTAAATTATGGCGTAAAGAATTAAATGGCCCAATTTCATTCACGTTAAACGTGGCGCAAATTTGTTTGGCTAATGTTGAACGTAGTGGAAGAGTACTTGATATACTTCCAAAATGTGGCGACTGGTTGGTTTGTAATCGTGATAGAGAATGGAAAATGAATGTTAGGAAAATGTGCAACAAATCATTTTCTGGGAAAAGATGTCCAGCTTACCTAGTTGTTGAGTAAACGAGTGAACGGATGAATTTAGGGATGGCAATTTTGCCCATGGGTTTGGTTATCCGCGAATACCCGACCCATTGGGCACGGGCGTGGGTGTGATTTTTTATCCGTGGGTACGCCCGCCCAAGACTCGTAGACATCGTGGGCAACAGCCGGGTTTCATTTTTTACCTGTGGGTAACCCATGCCCAACCCGATACATATGTATTAGCTAATTTTGATTTATCTCTTAATTCTTATACCCCTTTCTCTTATTCATTTGTGATACTAACTAATAATAAGTTGTGATGTAATTCAAATTATTGTTGATAACTGATAATTTGGTAAATTATTGATTTTATTTTTCTTTATTAAATTATATATCTTTCGAGTTATTATTCACAAAGTTTTACCCGCTAACCCTAGTGGGTAGGGTTTGGGCGGGCGACGATGGGCATAGGGTCGGGCATGGTTTTACTCTACCCATGCCCGACCCAACCCGTTGCCATCCCTAGATGAATTGATGCACACCCTTTAAAACACTATTCAAATCAAATTGGACTATTGGAGTAGTGGAGTGCCAAAATTTGTCACCACCATCACCCAGCGCATCAACACAGCTGTAACATAAGTACCGGGCAGGCAAACACAATGATTTCAACTTGAATCATTTGTACTCTTTTTCTACTTTTTCTACTTTTTCTTCTTCGAAAAAGAGTTCGCCACCAACCGTCCATCCAAAAAATACACCAGCTATCTCACATGAACTCTAGCTAACCGTCTAGACTAATCTAAAGACTACAAAAGCCAAGAAGAATTTTGAAAATTGGTATATGAGTTCGTGGAACTGTACCAAATTTGATGTGGCGTTGCACATCCGAACGGAGTTCCTGTCTCCTGCAGGCAGTAGATACTAGATAGCCTGTAGGCAGCTCATACAGTGATGACACCTGACATCCATGGCACAACAACGGGAGCAGATGGATGAGCATCCCTGTACGACTCAGAATACCTGTCTTTGAAGTTCAATTTAGGGTGATCAGCCTGCAAGCATGCAAACAATGAATTCAAAGTTACTTCGCTATTCTTTGGCAGTATGAGGCCCAATCTTTAGGATCAACATCAAATGCAGGTTCATCTGAAAGGAATTGTCAGTGAAATAATCCACAGAAATATTACAGTTAAATACAGTACTTTAAGATAATCGGATTGCATTTCTATAACCTTTATTGGCAAAGATATGATAAAATTGCATAAAAAATAGTACAATATTCCCCGCAAAAAAAAATAGTACAACGCATTAAAACTTCCATGTTGCAAAACAAGATTCTCCTACAACCGCAAGTAACTAAATGTTGAATAGCATCATGAATTCAGTATTGGAGAATTCAACATACCAACCTTGCCACTTTAAGTATTGAATTCGCTACTAAATTAAAGGCAGCAAAAGTACTGTGCCATACTTTACCTTGTGATCTAAAAGTTACAACTTATGCACCAGCCTGTCCAGCCATGTTCCAATATTCAGGAACTGGAAACTGCTTAGCTTACCAAATTTTGCTAATGTGAGATTTTGCTGTTACCAAATTGATTTGGTTTGTTTGGCAAACAAAACAAGCATGTCCTCCAAGCCACCACAACCAAGTTACAAGCAGGGCCATGCCCTAAGATATGCATGATAACTTCTAATATATCCACCAATTAGATTCAATGTATGCAGTCATTTTTAAATATAGAGGACAAAATAGTTATATGGAAAGAACATAACAGGAACTGATGAGTCCCTCTATTTTTAGGTATAATTTTCAGAATCATTATCTCCAAAGCAGAATAGGAAGTACCCAACTACCCCGTCATCAAATATAAAAGAAGACAACATGATGATACCTGTTTCAACCAGCACTCTTGATGTTTGTGTTCATATTTATCTGGCGAGTAGCATCCATACTCTGATGGACAGTAAACCCATATATTGCACTTTAATGCCCCTGGTCTGGCCCTTTTAGCCTGATCAAGACAAGCTTGACAGCAATCAGCTGCACTTTCTTTATGATGTGTTAAGCCCCATCGAACAGCAGCACCACCGTAATCGGTATGTACTTGAGCATTGCATTCTGGGGGTAAAGGTGGACCTGCTATTATCTCTTCTTCTGCAACATACATGTTAAAAGCTATCAGTCCAAATCTTCTCACAGCATTTTAAACTCAAGGAAAACCAATACCAATATGTCACAAGATATGTACAAAAAAATAGCAGCTACACAAATGGTGTAAAGGAAATAACCTTCTGGTTCATTCTCAGGCTTGTCATCATGTTCAGTATGCCATACACTAACAGGTATCCAAAGGCCAATGTCGTCCATTAGCATTCGCCAATTTAACTCCAATGCTCGTTTTAACATCCCTAAGTATTTGACCATACAACATTATTGCAGGTGAAAGAAAACCTAGATATGAGTATAAAATGAACAAATAAGCTCACATACTTGATTCCTCATTAGAGAGGTCTGACATCGACAAATTCTGAGCAGATGCACTTCTGATGTCTTTCAGCTTCTCTAAACGCCAGGACTCTAAAGCTTCTGCATAATTTACAAAAAGAAATGCCATTTTTTATGCGATAAAGACATGAAATAAATGTCCCTTCATGCTGTTCAATAGAATTCCACCTCATACTATCAAATTGCTATTCATGACTTTGCAAGATAGATGTCCACAACCTAAATGAGCAACATACAAAACATTTTTTTTCATTCGATAAATTCTGTAATGATTGTCAAACCTATAAAATTCAAGAACCATAGACACTGCAACACAAATTGAATTACAGCAGCATTTGACATCATCATGCTATTATTTGTCTCGACAAAGGATTAGTTTATAACCTATACCAGTCCACATATGAAAAGGAATCTGCACTGGTAGTTCAATTCTTCGTTCACATGCACACAAGTATAAAGACATAAAAAGTAAGGACCAGAAAGGACCAGCATAAGAAGCACACTTCAGCTTCAAGTCGATGCAAAAGAATATAAGAAAGGCAAACAAAGTCCAGAAGGTAGCTTTTAGTCCCACCTTTTAAAAGGGGGGCATACCAAAGATAGAACACACTGTTTTCCAAAGTAAGTTTACAATTTGTTGCTTGCATGTGAAAAAAGGAAACCACGAATTAAATAGAACACTTGGAACAGGCAAATACTACAATCCTGTATTCTACTATACATTCTTAAATTTCAAGGAAATGTATTGCTCAAAACTCATCCTAATGCATGGATGGAACAAGTGCACTGAGATATGCCATGGATGGAAGCCTAATCACCCAGCTAGTCAAATGGAACAACAGGCCAAAGAACATACTCGCACCCATTTAGTCAAGTGGAACAATAGCAATCATACAAAATACATACTGCTCCAAAACAACACAATCACACAAAATACATACGGCTCCAAAACAACACAATCACACAAAATACATACGGCTCCAAAACAACGCGATCATACAACTCTTTTTTTCTTCCGAGCAACAAAATACATGACGCCAAATCATGAAGTGTCGCCAAGTTCTATGCACTTCGACAATAACTCCAACCTGGTCGGTACCAATATGGCAAGTTAGCAACAAATACAAGTGTAAGACTACAGTACCTCGTTGTTCGGTCGTGTTGCTGTTCTCCCCCAAATCACGCATCCTCTCTAAAATCTCATAGGAAACCTTCTGCTTCAGCTCGAGCGGCAACTCCTTCCGTCTCTTCTCCTCCCTAGCGAACACCTTCTCCAGCTTTTTCACCTGCTCGCACCCAATGGAAAATCGCAAATAAAAAATGTAACAGCAACACCAATTAAAATCCAACAGAAGTGATTTAATTGTAAGAGGAATGGTTATACAGCTTCCACGAGCTCGACGGACACGGCTGCGCGGCGAATCCGGATGGACTCCTCGACCAGCCTAATCTGCTCCTCCGAATACTTCACCGCCACGCCTACAGCAACCGCACCAAACCGAGCACACGAAATTGGATCAAAAGCAATCAGAAAATAAACAAAAAGCGAGCAAGACAGTAAGACACGAAGCTTAGCGCACGTCTGGGCGCGGAGGCGAAGTAGCCGGGGGCGGAGTAGAGCGAGCGGACCACGAGCAGCACGGCGACGAGGTTCCCCAGGCATACGGCGACTGTGACGCGCCGGTACGTGCACCACCTCGCCGCCGAGCGGCCTCCGAGCGCCGCCGCCGCAGCCGGCCCTAAGCCCCTCATCATGGCGCCGCCGCCGCCGCCGCCGCCACAGCCAGTACCATCCTTCCTATCGCCCCTAGGGTTTCTCGCCGCCCGCCAAGCACGAGTTGTGCGCTCCGCACGCCGCCACGCGCGCGCGCGCGCCGCGCGTTCGCTTCAGGCGAGCGGCGCCGTTTCGGCGGAGGAGGGAGGAGGAGGATTCGGGGAGCAGCGAGGCGGCGAACGGTAATTTCACCTGAGGCGGTGATGCGCGGCTCGACCTAGGGGGACTTTTGCTCCCTGACACGTGGGTCCCAAGTATCCCTGTCTTGTGGGTCCCACGTACTTTAGTTGGGTGGTGAGTGGTGGGGTGGTGGGGCCCACGGAAAGTCACGGTTTGCGTTGGGTTGGCGTGACGGAGGCATGGAGTTGGGGGTAATGGGGTGACGTGGACGGCTGTGATACGATCTTGGCGATTAGAAATGGTCGTGGCAGCGATAGTGGAGTACTGGAGTACGACAATGTGAGCACCTCGTTTTTTACCGCGAAGTGATGGGAAATAGTCATAGTTTACCGTACCATCTTTGGGATTATTTGGCCTGGTTGGTATGGTTGCCTGGTTGGAATGTTTTTTTTTTACTGTCGAGCTGGCCTGTGCTAATGATTTGGTAATTTGGTGGAAACCATTATTCTATATGTGTGGATCCGTGAGTGTGTCTCTTACTTTGTTCCTCTCTTCAGAAAGAAGAAAATGGTCAAATGAAACTGTGAAGGGACACAGCCAGCCTGCAGAAACTTTCAAAACAAGGATGTTCATTTTCCACCATACGTGGCCACATGGGTGGTGGTCTTTGATCCTTTTAGGCCATTCACAGTGCAAGCACCGGTCCCGGTAGCTTACTCCAAAAAAAAGCCCCAAAGACACTCATTCCCACAGTGCATGTATCCTATTTTGCGTGACCTAACTGGATGGAGATACTGTGCAAGGGAATAAACCCCACAACGCGCGTGACCCGGTTTTAAAGACACGGGCGAGTGAAGGAAATTTATTCCTTCACCTACCCTTGCTCCCGTCGTCCTCCTCGTCTCCCACGCCGTTCCTCGCCTCCTAGCCTCCCACGCCGCTCCCCTCCAAGTCCGCCGCTGCGCCTCCTCCCAGTCCGCCGCCGCGCCTCCTCCCGGTCCGCCGCCGCGCCTTTCCCGACGGTGGGAGCGACGGGGGCGGCGGAGGAGGAGGGGAAAGGCTGCTGCTCCGGTGTCCTCCTCGCCTCCCGTCGTCCTCATCGCCTCCCTCGTCGCGCCTCCTTCTCCGGCCGCTGCGGTAGCGAGACGCCTCCACCGCGGCGACCTCACCGAGGGAGACCTCGAGCAGCTGCCGCCGCCGTCGCGAGGAGGAGGAGTGGGTTCGCCGGTCGTCGTGGCGACAGCGGCGGCGGTGGATCTATCCGCCGCACCTCCCCTCTCCCTCCCCCACTCCCTTACTTCACCGCGTCGCAGCTGCAGCGGCTCGGCGTCGGCGGAGCCACAAGCGCCCGTGGAGGAGCCGCGCGGCACCGGCGGCACGGGGAGCGCGGCAGCCGCCGCCGCCGCCGCCAGTTCTTGGCGGCACGCGGACGTCGGTTCTTGGTGGCCTGCGGACACCGGCCGCCAGTTCTTGGCTCGTCCGGATCCGAGTTGTGGTGGCGGTCGTCGACGCGGGGCCCCGGATTCGCCACCGGATTTGGGGGTCGTGGCGGCGGATGTGGTGGCCATGGCGGGAGCGGACGGCGCGACGCCGACAGGAAGCCGCGGTGAGGAGGAAGCTGGCGCGCGGCGGCGAGATTATTGATTGTTGTTTTTTTTGCATGTGAGATGTGTTGTTTCTTGGTGATTCCTCTTGTGTTCTTGGGACGGATCGTGTAATTTTTTCTGCGTTCTTGCTTGGGGTGTTTTGGTGGCGGGAAGAATCGTGGGCAAATTGGGGTTTTCTTCACTTGATGCGGCGTGAGGGGACGGCGCGGCCAAGAACCGCACCCCACAGCGCGCGCACCTCGCTTCTTCCTCTCCTTCTCGCGCCCTCGTTTTGGCTTGTGTAGGATCAAGGAGGCCGACTAGAGGGGGGTGAATAGGCGGTTTTAAAACTTAATGGCACTTAAACAAAACTAACCTAAGTTGCTAGGCAAGGTGAGATGCAAGGTTAACTAAGCAACTAAATTAAGTTTTGCAAACCTAGGTGATATGGGCTCAAATATGTCTCTATGAATGTAAATTGCACAAATATAAATGCAACAAATAAATGAGACAAGAGACAAGGAATTTTTCACCGAGGTTCGGAAACTCGCCGGTTTCCAAATCCCCGTTGAGGCGAGCCCAACTCCACCGCTCAACCATGAAGCCACCGCACGTCCCCTTCGTCAAGGGGTGGGCAAGGCGGGAGCCGGCCCACGGAGAGGACTACCCAAGCCTTGATCACTCGGGGTAGTTCTTCCTTCACTCCGAAGGTGGTGAACTCCAAATCACTCACAAACGGCACCGGGCCTCCTCCACAATCTCCTCGGAGAGGTCACCGGGCAACACCTCCACAAGCCGTCTAGGAGGCGGCAACCTCCAAGAGTAACAAGTCTAGGATGCTTGCGGAGGATGATCAAGTGCCACACTAGCTATAACAATGAAGCAATGCACTTGGATTTGCTTAACTCACTCTTTAACACCTCACTAGATAAACTAAGTGCACAAGGGTGTGAGAGCTCTTGCAAGGGTTCAAGATAATGCAATGGAGTGCCAAAACCCTACCCTTGCTGCTGGGGAGTAGGTATATATACCCCCAACCACCAAAACTAGCCGTTGGAACCGAAATCCCCAACTCTGTGCTCTATCGGTCAGACCGCCGTTGTGAGGCCGATCAGACCGGACTACTTTGTAACGGCTAGAAAACTAGCCGTTATAGGGCAATCATTGAGCCCACTCAACCTGGTCAGTCTGACCGCAGTGTAGTGGCCGGTCAGACCGTCCACGGCTCGGTCAGATCGCCGTCGGCTCGGTCTGACCGGTTGCAGCTCTGGCGGTTCTGTATTGCCACCAAAAATCAGATCAGTGCAACAGACCAGTGGAGCCAATCAAACCGGCCTTACCACGCCGGTCAGTGGAGCCAGTCAGACCGGCCTTACCACGCCGGTCAGACCGGCTAACAGGCCCGGTCAAACCGGCCTAAGGCCCACGGTCAGACCGCAGGTCACTTTTCAGCTCAACCGACCGTTTAGTAATACGGCGATATCTCTTGACTCGGGTCTCGGAATTTGACGTTCTTGGACTCTATGGAAAGCTTATTCAAAGGGCTATCCAACCCATGAACAATCCATCCAAGAAACACAAATTTTCTCAGGGAGAAATGGCTCACACTCCAAAGGATACTCCACCGGACATAACCACATGAGGCTACCCAAACCTATTGGATGTGCCCACTTCTCTCTTTGTTTGGGATTTAGACAAGCCCACAAAATGCACCTATATGCATATGAACTAGTATGGCACAAGATCATCCACATGCTCGTTTCATAGACCCCTCTTTATAGTACGGTGTCTATCTAGCAAATTCGGTCTACACCAAACTCCAAGACTAGGAAAAAGACTAAAAAAACATTCTTAGCTCCATTATACCTTTGTCTTGCGCCATCCAACTTGGGGTCAATGCTCGAGCCAAGATCAACACTTGTGACCATCCAGTTGAACCATGTTTATGCCGAGGTCTTGTCCATCCTCTTTAAGACTTTCTTCTCATCACAAGCTTTCATTCTTGTCAACATGGCAATGTCTTTGGTTTGGTGACCATCAACTAATGGTGTCATCCATTTGCCTCATCACAATTAGACCTATTTCTTTGCACATCTCAAAGGAGAACATTAGTCCCAATAAATCGGTTGTCATCCTTCACTTGATGACCAACCGGTTGCATATGAAAGATATGGATATGTTTGTTGAGAATTCATTAACATCACAAATGTCATATACTCGTATGCAAGCTTAAGTGCAAAGATCCGATATAAATAATAGGTGAACAACATGGATCTAGAACATGCACAATAAATGTATAGGATTTGCTCCCCCTAAATATATGCATACAAATAAATTTACAAGAGAGGCAAGTGTATGCATAAGTTATGAAGAACCAATGGGGTTTATCCTATACACATGGAGAAGGCATGTAGCAATGATAAAGATAAACAAAAAAACACATGCCTTCATGATCTCCATGTTCTCAATGTAAAGGAGACTAAATAAGATAAGACTCAAGTAAACATTAGTCTCACACTTATATAACAATAACATGGAAATCATATATATAAACCTATCAAAAAGTAGGAGATAAGAAGTGATACATATCGCTTTATCTCCATGAATTTCATCCTTGTCATGATTAAAGTCCATCACCAAAGAATGCATATCTACCGCATCTCATTATCGGGAAATAACCTTGTTGAAAACTTATGTAAAAGAGAGGTTAATCCCATAAACATCGGTTTATCATCTATCACCAAAGCAACAATTACACAAATTGTTTAATCCAAGATCTTTCAATCTTTTCTCTCTTTTGTGATAGATAATAATCCGATATAAACAATATAGAGAGATGAGATGAAAGATGATTTCAAATCAAGATAGAAATCTTATAATAAACAAAATATAGAATAACCTCCCCCTCAAGATGTGCATACATATGGATATAAAGGAACACATACGCACATAATCAATCAAGATCAATGAGGGAGCTCACACTATATTTTGAATCCACAAGAGAGATCAAGTTAGAATATGTGAAGTTTAATACATACCTCTAATCATTTTTACTTTCATATCCAAATGAGACTAGTCAAACAAAAGCTCATAAAAATGTTAGTCTCATATAATTAGATTTGTCATTAATCACCAAAACCAAATTAAGGCACTTGAACTTACAGCTTGGTTTCGTGTGGCTCTGCTTGGCGGCGAGGAGCTTTGCTAGGGGGCGATTCCTTCTGCCACGTATGCTTCAATCCGAGCTGGCACCGTGTAGCACCGCTCCAGCTAGGAGCACTGTGAGAGGCCTTATAGCAGTCATAGGCTGTGTTTGGCACCCGACGAGGCTCCTCTAACTTTAAATCAGAGGAATTCCTTCCGTTCAGCTGAGGTTTCTAACATTTACCTCTTTGTTTTCCACATATGTTATATGAACTGCTAAAAGTTTTTTTAAAAAAAATTATATAAGAATGTTATTTTAAAAAGTTTTTTTTAGCTAATGCTTAATTAATCATGTGTTAATAGATTGTTCCGTTTTGCATGCAAGGAGGTAGAGTTTTCAACATTCACCTTCGAACACAGCTACAATGCTCTTACATAACATTCGGTCCTAATGTGCTGAGGTGCCACATAGAAGGCTGAGATTCTCCTCTATGTTTGCTGCACGCTCGTCCCTCGTGAGGCTTCTTGTGCCATTGCAAGGAATGCTAGCTCCCTGTTGGCACCAAAGACGAACATAAGACGAACATAAGATATATAGCTCGTCCCTCGTGAGGCTTTTTGTGCCATTGCAAGGAATGCTAGCCTCCTGTTGGCACCAAAGACGAACATAAGACATATAGGTGTTGTGAAGGTTGTGTTTTTGGCTTCGCGTGACCTCGCTCTCCCCCACGCCCCTCCATCCATCGCCATGTGGATTGGACTGAGATGGTATGTGAGGCCGAACAAACTGAGGCTTTCATCAACCTGACGAATTGCCTTACCGCACCAAGTTGGACTCGTGCGGATATCTGAACCACGAGTTCTTTCGCGGCATCGAGAGTGCATAGCACAGGAAACTCGAGGGGCGCGTGCGCTATGGAGGTTGTTGCTCCGGAGTTGTCGTCCCCTCCCTTCAATTAAGGCCATGCAAAGTAGGTAGCATGCACTATAGGGTCGAGTGGCTTTGGGCTAATTTCTCAGTTTCACATGGGCTAAGACACCTATAGGGTAGCTTGTATTGCTACTGCCCTAGGTTGCTATTGCCCATTTGCCCTCATGGGCTTGTGGCATGCATGACCACTGCCAACAAGGCAATGACTGATGAAGAAAGCCCGTGGGTCGTCAGCTCGTTCAACACCGAGTAGCAGCAACCGGAACAGCACTATACCAGCGTCCATGACGCCTCGCCCAACAGCGTACACCCATCCCCTCCTTTCCGCAAGATGAAGGGCGGAAAACATGTGAGATTATTTTGTGCAATAATGTAAAATTCAATAAAATACTCTTGTGCCATCTGGTGCAACCCTGTAAACACAAACCACTAAATCCTCAGACACACAAAGGGAAAAGAACACAACTATTGTTTGGTTAGTAACTAAACCACACTTAACCTTAGACAAACCACAATTTCATTATACAGTGTTTGGTTTCTACCACAACTCTATTTTACCTAACTCTTAGCCACTTGATATACATATCATACACTCTATTTTCTTGCCAAACATTGTCTAAGCTTAGTTTGTCATTTTGTTTTCCACAAAAGTATGAAAAGACTAAGCTTAGCTACGCTACCTTAGTAAAAAATGTGAGGCAATATTAGTCCCCAGCCAAATAGACCCAGCCATAGCAGTTGCAACCAGTAGCATCAGTGCACTTCAGAAATCAAAACAGCAAAGCACTCTGATAAGTGATCAGGCTATGAGCACTCGGATCCAAAATCGCAAGAAAAACAGGCATCTCAGAATTATAGGACGTCTTATCAGTCCAACAACAAAAATGCGTTTCTGCCTCAAACAGCGAGTTCACGGTTCGGTACAGGCTCACAGCCTGTGCGGCATTTCGACGAACAAATCGCGTGCAAGCCTAGACGCCATGGGGCAAAGATCTGACAAGTAAATACGCAGCGATCACACATCGCGGGGGAGGACTGAGAGTGCGGCGGAGATTAGCCGGGCAACGAGCTACTTGTCATCGGTGGAGGCGGGGTGGGCGGCGAAGATGCGGCGGAGATGGGAGGCGAGCGCGCCGGACTCGTCGGCGTCGGCCTCGCGGCGCAGGGCGTCCTGGACGTCGCGCATCCGGAGGGATAGGTCGTCGTGCTCGCGGCGGAGGTCGGCGTTGTCGTAGATGAGGTCGCGGCGGCGGTGCTTCTGGCCCAGGGTCCGCAGGCTCATCATGAGGACGCTCCCCATCAGGAGCAGCTGCACGAACCCGTGCTTGTGCTTCGCCGCGTTCTTCAGGAAACCCAGCGGCCGACGGCTCCCCGCGCTCCCGCCGCCTCCGCCGCCGCCGCCCGTGAGATCCGCCATTCTCGGTGGCGGTGCTTCGACTTGCGTCGCGCGGACTCTTGTTGCGAAGGAGAAGGATCTAGAGTGCGTTTTTCCTCAACTTCGGGGGTGCAATTGCATATTTGAGGGATATTGGGCTTGGGCCTAGAAGGCGAGCGAAAGAACCGAGAAACAGGGGGCGGCCATGGGAGGCGAGGCGAGGCGAGATCGCGCGCTGGAGCGCAGCCGGGCGGCGGTCGACGGTTTGGCCGCGTCGTCCTCTGCTCATACGCCACCGATGTCGGTGGGACGCGACAGCGGCATCCCGGCGGCGAAGCCCCAGTGGGAGTGGGACGGCGAGGAGGCGGAGGGCGGCGACGGCGAGGTGCCCAGCTTGTACAAGGTACCTTTCGGTGGGGCTGATCGGAACTGCTGGCTGCTGCTGCCGTCACGGCTGTGGTCGTTTTTAGGTGCTGCTGCAGCTGATTTTTAGCTCTCGCCGCTGCAGCAAGCGCTATATATCAATATACTCTATATTAGTATTTTTTTTTAAAAAAAAAGTGTAAGAAAAATACGGGAATGATTTTCTTCGGTCGCCCGGCGTGGGGGAGCCAGATCGGACGCTCCCCAACTCTCTCATTTTTTTCACAAAACATGTTTCACCTAATGTATATATAATATTTCACTATTTATAGATCTAATGCTGCAGTGAATTATAATACTCTTTTGTAAAAAAAAACCCACATATTTTGGAAACCCTCTATTAAGGGAATTTGGTTTATTCTTTGTTCCAAAAAATATTTCATCTAGTGTACGCACAATGTTTCACTATGTATAGATCTAATGTTGTAGTGAACTGAAATACTCCATTGCAATAAAAAAACCCACATATTTTGAAAACCCCCTATTAAAGAAATTTGGTTTATTTTTTTGTTCCACCGAAAAATGTTTCACCTAGTGTACTCACAATGTTTCACTATGTATAGATCTAATGTTGCAGCGAACTGAAACATTCTTTCGCTATTTGCTGAAACATTGTTTTTATATAAGGTGAAACAACACCCAATTTAAACGAGTGAAAAATTTTCGATATACTTAGTGAAACAATTTCGATATACCTGGTGGAACATCGTGTAACATTGAAAAATAATTCAATAATAAGCTATTTTTTTGTCGAAATATATCCATGTGTGGTCTTGTTTTGAAGATTTAATTGCAATGAATTTAATGGTGTAATCGGATCATGATTTGGATAAGTAATTTAAGAGAAAAATCAATTTAAAATAGTTTTGCACGTAAATCGGGCGCTGACGTCATGCCGACGTCAGCGCCCGATTTTAATCTTCTCCTATCGGGCGCCCGAGTCGAAGGCATCTCCAAAAAAATATACATGATTTTTTGAAAATTGTAAGAAAAATGTACATGAGAGGACATTCTCGACGGATTAGAATCCATTCCCTAAATGGTGGTGGGAGGGTACGTACAACTAAAATGAGAAAACAAATTAAATGACGGATGACTTGAGAAAACAAATTAAATGACGGATGACTGTTGGGACTCAAACGCCATAAGTTATTATATTTTGGAATAGAGACAATAGTCCATTAATGATCTTCTTGTTTGAGCCACGATCTAATTTATTATTTTTAAACATCATCTAAATTAATTTAAAGATTTTCTGACGGACTTAAAACTACTACGAAATTATCCGATCAATATCCGGTCTAAAACTGTCCGATCAATATCTTTTTTAGAGCCATTTAATAATATCAAAATCTTTGAGACTTCGGACTTCAAGTCCGCCAGATCGACGTTACGTGAGTTTACTTGTAGATCCGTCTCATATTTACTGTCATTGGTTTAGAGGCTCATAGCTAAGTAAAAATAAACACGTAAATTCACTTTTATATTTTTACTTTCAGCAATCCAAATATATATTGAGGTTAAAAAAAGAAAATATGAAACATCTTATTAATTTTAATTCTGACAATATATTGCTAGTTTCTTTGTTTACTCAGTGAGAAGTTAGCTCGGCATTTGTTTCTTTTTATTTAAAAAAACAGTTCGGCATTTGGTACTTCCTACTTTCCTACTCGCATAAATCACGTTTGGTCCTTCAGAATAATTGGTAGTGCAAAGTACTCGAGTAGTCGATCACTGTGCTTCTTTCAGGGCTACAGTACGTGCAGAGATGAAATCATGCGCAGCGAAGCGAGTTGGCGAGACACAGTGCCTGCCTCCTCCGGTGGTTGGGCAATGTCGCTCGTCGCGCCGGCCGCACGTAGGGGACCTGTTCCGACTTTGGGCGACAATACCACGGATGCGTTTACATCCACGATAAAATTAGAAGTTCAAAAGAATTAAAACGATGCGATGAAAAAGTTGAAAGTTTATGTGTGTAGAAAAGTTTGATGTGACGGAAAAGTTTAAAGTTTGAAGAAAAGAGTTGGAATCTAAACAGGACCCACGTACGCCGTTTAGGGCCCTTTTGAATAAAATGATTTATATAAGAATTTTATAGGATTCAAATCTTATAGGAAATTTTCCTATTTAGCCCTTTGATTTAAAAAAGTGAAGCTTTCCAGATCCTATGAAATTCCTATGTAATGGCACATTGCACGTGAATTTTAGAGGAAATATAGTAAGAGCTTCAACCTCTTGAAAAATTCCCTTTGAGTCTATCTCTCTCATCCGATCCTTGCGTTTTTTCTGCGCTCCAATCAAACGATCATTCCTATGTTTTTCCTGTGTTTTGTAATCATCTGTTTTACGCTTCAATTTCTTTCAGAATCATGTGTTTTTCATATTCCTCCATTTTTTTAATCCCGCGATTCTAATGGCCCTTATACTTTAGACTGACCAACCTACAGTAGACGTACCTACGCCTTCCATTGACGGCCCCACTAATCTTTCTAGCCTGGGCAAATCCAACCAGAGTGATTTTCTACAGTGAAAACACTAACTTTAAACCCTGTAAAACACACAAATTCATCACAATTTGTCGATGAGCCGAGCCAAGGCCAATGGTTACAGTGATCATTACGGTTTTCCTTAGGACACCGCGTGCTAATTACTGTGGTATTGGCTTTATCTACGTTATTGATGACCGCTTGGCATATAGACAATTTAAAAAACAATTTTAAAAGTAACTTTTTTTTCGTAGATTTTGTTCGGCTCCACATGATATCTCATTAGTAGTGGTAACTCACTCTTATCCCTTTTTAATTCTGGGTTTGTGATTTTTACGCCGTCAAATCCCAGGGCTCAACCCTGGACAGACGGTGAAAACTACCAAGCTAGACAAGGCTTTGATTTGCCTTTCTTTTGTTTTGAGTTTTTATTTCCGTTTTCATATTTTTCAAGCTATTAAATAGTTTGTTTTGTGAAAAAAAAGGTTTCTATATATTTTTTAAATACTTTTATAAAAGTAACTTTTCATCACCTTTTGTAGTTAACTTGTTCATTTATACAAAAATTTAGATTATCTATCAATTTAACTATCTAAAACGGTCTTATTAGATGGTAAGAGATCCCTAATGATCACCACTAGATCAAATTACACACAAACTGAAAGCCGTTTTGTAAAATTTCTAACAGGCACACTATTCCTATCCGACATGGATGCATCCAGACTCGCCCCTTCCGGCTTATGCATTTAGATCCACCCTAAAATTTTTCACCCTTTCACATCGAACGTTTGAACACCTATATGAAGTATTAAATATAGGGTAAAAAACTAATTGCACAGATTGTGACTAATTTACGAGACGAAACTTTTAAGCCTAATTGCTCCATGATTTGATAATGTGGTGCTACAGTAAATATTTGCTAATGACGAATTAATTAGGCTTAATAAATTCATCCCGCGGTTTACTCACAAATTCCGTAATTAGTTTTTTTATTAGTGCCCGAACACCCCATGCGACACCCTATATAATACCCGATGTAACACGCCAAAACTTTATACCTCTGCATCTAAACACTGCCTGTGTATTCCAATATGTCCAAACTCCAAAACAGTACAACCACCACGTAGTAATGTTTACATGTGGCGATCTCTGCTCTGAATTGAAACAAACGGCTAGCCCCATTCGATCTGCTGCACGCACGCACGCGTTGCACGGCGTACGTGAGTCCACGCGCGCGCGCCATGCCCTACGCTCGTCACGTCGCAACAGCCGCCGCATTTACTTTTGCACGATCGATTTATAAAAACCACATCACACGCACCCGATTTATAAAAATTCGAACGCCACCGCATCCCCAACCGTCCGATCGGTCCGATCGAATCGCCCCCTCCCTCGTGCGTGCGTGTGGCGTGTGCGCTGCCTGCCTCCGCCTCAATATCACGCGCGCGCCGTGCGTCTTTCCAACGGTTGGATCCCGTGTCACGGAAACAGGCTGGCCGTCGGATCCGTATCTGGCCACAGGTATTTGTACGCGCGGCCGCGCGGTTGGGAGCGGACGAAGCGACGGGTTTTTTTTTGCTCGGATGGGGAAGAAGAAGAAGCGCGACGGCGCGGCGGCGAGGAGGCAGGCGCGGGTGGTGGTCGGCGGCGTCCGTACGCGGGCCGCCGTCACGGCGAGGAGGGTGGTGGCGAGCGCGGAGGAGGGTTGTGGTTTGGTGGGCCGTGGCGGTGGCGGTGGCAGTGGCGGAGACGATGGCGAGGGCGGATGCTATCTGCGTCTGCGGAGCAGGAGGCTGCCCTTCGTGGCGGCCGCGGTGGTGTCGTCGCGGAGGGAGGAGGCGCTCGGTGATTCGGTGGCGGAGGCGGCTTCGTCGTCGTCGTCGCGGGCGGTGGAATTGTTGGGCTGTTCTGGTGAGGAGGAGGCTATGGCCGAGAAGGTGATTGATGAGCCCTAGAATTCCTCCGCGGCTCGAGTGCTCGATCGCCCGCTTCCATCTCTTGCTGAATGATGCGGCTTGGGATGTGGTGGTTTTGCAGGTTTGCACGCAGGCAGGCGAGGATCACGACGAGGAGAGCTCCGTCGGCGACTCCGGCTGCGGCCGCGAGAGGTGATCGAGCTCCTCTCCACGCGTTCTTGCTTGTCCTTGACATGATTAATTACAACCGCCGTTCTCTCAATTGAATTATCGCAATTCAATCCAGGAGCGCGACGACGCCGTCGAGCCGCCGGCCGCCGGGAGACGCGGACTCGAGCGACGCGGAGTCAAACCAGGAGGCCAAGCAGCAAATGTGCCGCCGGAGTTCGACGACCTCAGCAGCTGCATTTCACGCGGGAGCGACGACGAGGAGCTTCAGGATGATGGCACCGCCGGCGGCGGCGGCAGAGATCGAGGAGTTCCTCGCCGCTGCGGAGAGGTCCGAGGCCGAGCGCTTCGCCGCCAAGTGAGTGCTGCATCACATATTGTCGTCCGTGCGTCGTGTCGTACATATCGTCGTCGTCGTCAAAATCGGCCTCGATCGCGACATGCATGGCCGCATGGGAGCTGATTAACGTGCGCTCCTCCTCCTCAGGTACAACTTCGACGTGGTGCGCGGCGTGCCGCTCGACGCCGGCGGCGCCGGGCGGTTCGAATGGACCGCGGTGGGCAGCGGCTGAGGCGAAGCATATGCATGCGGAATTGCAAACCGGCAGTGGCCAAGGCATGGTAAAAGAGATGCTCTCAGTTAATGGAAAAATCCGAAAAATGTAAAGTGAAAATAAGGATCGAAAGGATAAATAGAAGAAAAAAATAACAGAGGAGTTCCATTAATTTACCAGCAGCCTGGACAGTTAGCTCGATTGATCTGGTCGATTATTTGCTCTAAAAAAAATCTTTATTTCTTTTCGTAGTTCAAGTTCATGATCATGCTCATGCATGTCCCTAGTTAGTAGTCACTACAGTTTCTTCACTCTTCTGGCTATTTCGTGCGACTTCAGCGTTTTGATTCAGATTCAAACTGGGCTGCCTTGGGCCAACGTGTTACGAGGGTAAGGCCGGAAGAACTTAGGCGGTGTTCTTTTGTATGGGTTGGGAACCCCTCCCCTCCGCATAAAAAACGGAGTGATAGATTAACACATGATTAATTAAATACCCGCCCGACCATCTCCTTTTCCTCTCCAGAGGACCAAAGCAGAAAAAATATAATTCATACTATTATCTCCATCCTTTAATATACAGCGAAAGTGGATTCTAATATTTTAAGAGGTGTCCCATCTTGTATCTTTTTCTTTCAAATTCGATACAAATAGTTGTGAGAAATTCTGAAAAAATTAACAATGTAAAATATAGTGATATCTATCGGTCCACCAAAAATCAAGTTTAAATTCGATCTACCCATCAAAGAAAAAAAAGATAAATTTAGATGTGAACAATATGCTACTATTCATATGCTGATTTTTTTATATCTCGACATGTGAGTTGAGTTTGGATCTAAGATTTTGTGGAGTTGTATAGATATGTTGTATGAGCGTTGCTATTTTTTTTCTTAACCGTTTAAATGGTTTTTAAGCAAATGATAAACATTTTCTCAAGAGATCAAAATAGTTTCCCATATATAACCAAAGTCATACATTAATTAAAGATAAAGTGAATATGTATGCTACTACCTCCATCCCAAGAAGATTTCACTTGTTGCCATCATTTTTATTTTTACAAAAAGTCTTTTTGATTAGGTAGTAGTACTATTTAACCAGGACAACAAGCTAGATTCCGGCCGTCCCTAGAAGAGTACTGATTCACATAAGCAACTTGAATGATGATGCTACTACTGATTCACATCGACAACTTGAATTAACCAGGATGACAAAAGTGTATTGTTCCTGGATTTTCTAAACACGGCGAAGTTGCCACATTTGCCACGAATTTTAGAAAGTCAGCAAAGGAAGCAACATTTAGGGCCCTTTTATTCGCAGGATAGAAAAAACACAGGAATTGAAGTAGTAGGTTTCTCAAATCCTACAGGAATCAGCAAACACAGGAAAAATAATAGGAGTCATTTAATAGTGCTATAGGAAAAACAAAGGAAAATTCACAAAGAGGTGACACCTCTTGCTATTTTTCCTATGAAATGTGAAGCATAGGAATACAATCCTATGAAAAGTTTCCTTTCTTTCCTTTGAATCAAAGGGACATGTAAGAAAAAATTCATAGGATTTGAATCTTATAAAAATCATTTGCCAATCCTATAAATCAAAGGGCCCTTACATCAGAAAAGCAGTCATCAGATAGGGGCACGTAACGTTAAATGTGTGGAGACATTTCTTTCTTTCTTTTGTGTAGATATGAATGTCTTATCTGATGATAGTCAAATAAATTAGTTTCCGTTTTGAAAAGGACCGGAATTGTCACAGTCCTGGACTGCTCTCTATCACATCCTTGATTGTTCTTTTATGAGTTTTTTTTTTTTTGGAAAAAGTACGAATTACCCCCCTGAACTATCGCGGTCGATCGAATTACCCCCTTAAACCCGAAAACCAGACATCGTTTACCCTGAATTTTTAATACCGGACAAATTACCCCCCTCAACCCAAACCAAAGCGGTTTCGTCCTACGTGGCGTACGCGTGGCAGTCCAGTTAGCATTTTATTTATAAAAAATATAGGACCCACCTGTCATACTCCTTTTCCACTCTTCCTCTCTCTCTTCTCTCTCTACCACTCTCTCTCTCATTGTGAACGCGGAGGCGTCGTGCGCTGTTCTTCGGCGACTCGCTGGCGAGCAGCCACGTGACGTCCGTCACGTCCCTCGTGTGCGTGCTGTCGCAGGTGGAGGCGCCGGCGAGGTCGGGCGACGCGGCGGCGGGGTTCGAGCACTGGCGCCGGCGCACGGCTTCGCCGTTGCGTACTTCTGGTTCTGGACGTCGTTCCCCCTCCTACTCGCCGCACCGCGGGACGCGCGGAGGCGGCGGACGAGGGGGCCACCGCCCGCGCGTCGCCGTTCCCCCTCCTACTCGCTGCCTCTGCCGCAGCGAACTCCTCGGCCTGCGCCCGGTAGAACTTCGCCTCCGTCGCCGCCATCTCTGGCGCCGCCCCGTCCTCGCTCTCGTTGACCGGCCGCGTCGCGGTGCACTCCCCGCCGTCGAACCACCCGCCGTTCTCGTAGTGCGTCGGCGCCACCGTGCGTAGGATCGCCGTGCCGTTGAACCCGTCCAGCCTCACCAGCGCCCCGAGCACGGAACGCCGCCCGCTACGCGTGCTCCGGCTGCTTGAGAATGGTTGTGCCGTTGTTGTCGCCGCAGTCGTGGCAGCCGACGACGCGGCCGTGCTGGTAGTACACGGCCGGGCGCGCGAACCAGTGCGACGCGGAGAGTAGTCGTGGCCCCATCAAGCGCGTCCCGGACCTCGCCGTCCTCGCCGACCGGCACTCCGGCGAGCTCCCCGGCGTCGACGTCTTCGTCACCACCGTCGACCCTGTCGACGAGCCGATACTCTACACCGTGAACACCTTCCTCTCCATCCTCACCACCGACTACCCGGTGGACAGGTACGTCTGCTACCTGTCCGACGATGGCGGGACACTGGCCATGGACCCATGGTGGAGGTCGCCAAGTTCGCCGAGCTGTGGGTGCCCTTCTGAGTGTAAACCGATGTTTTTGTGTGTTTTTTGATAGGTTTTGCTGAACAATCCAAGCTGTAAACCGAGGCTTCGATTGGCAGCGAGTGCTGAGAATCCGGTTGATTTCAGTGGTGTTGACGTGCGGCTCCCCATGCTAGTGTACATCTCGCGCGAGAAGCCGTGCGCCGGGAAGCGCCAGTGCTCGAACCCCGCCGCCGCGTCGCCCGACCTCGCCGGCGCCTCCACCTGCGACAGCACGCACACGAGGGACGTCACGTGGCTGCTCGCCAGCGAGTCGCCGAAGAACAGCGCACGGCGCCTCCGCGTTCACTGAGAGAGAGAGAGAGTGGTAGAGAGAGAAGAGAGAGAGGAAGAGTGGAAGAGGAGTATGACAGGTGGGTCCCATATTTTTTTATAAATAAAATGCTGACGGGACTGCTACGCGTACGCCACGTAGGACGAAACCGCTTTGGTTTGGGTTGAGGGGGGTAATTTGTCCGGTATTGAAAGTTCAGGGTGAACGATGTCTGGTTTTTGGGTTTAGGGGGTAATTCGGTCGACCGCGATAGTTCAGGGGGTCATTCGTACTTTTTCCTTTTTTTTTTTGCCATCAGAACATTGAAGTTGATCATGACCTAAACACAGCCGTAGTATCTCAGTGAGAGTACTCCCTCCGTCCCATAAAAAAACTAACCTAATACTAGATATGACACATTTTATTACTACGAATCTGAATATACATTTGTCCAGATTCGTTGTACTAGAATGTGTTAACCTAGTACTGGATATGACACATTCTATTACTACGAATCTGAATATACATTTGTCCAGATTCGTTGTACTAGAATGTGTCACATCCAGTCATAGATTTGTTTTTTAGGATGGAGGGAGTAGTTGTTACTACTTAAGGATATTTCAGTGGAGTATTCCATAAGGATATTTCAACATTGTTAAAACAAACAAACTATCTTATTAGTACCAGCCAAACTTCTGTTGAAGTGTACCCGACAAGTTTCTTCAATGGTCCTAGAGGAACATTACAATAACCATGCTGATGCATGCCACGACTTCAACATGATTGGAATAGTCCAAGTGAATTGTGTCAGCCAACTCTTATTCTTATGTATTAGGTGGTGTTCTTTCTTCTAAAGATAAAATAAAGATGAAGATTAAGTTTTTTTACGCAAAAGAGAGATAATATTAATGTATGATTAATGAGTTTTAATTATTATATTTTTTTTAAAAAATAGATTAATATGATATTTTAAAGCAACTTTCATATAGAAAGTTTTCGCACAAAACACACCGTTTAGCAGTTTAAAAAGCGTGTCATGGGTATCCAATATTTTATCTAACTTTTGTTGGAGAAAAGAATAGGGCCGTAGGTTGCTCCTAGCGTGGTTTTGAGATTTACTAGCAAACGTATATAGAATTTAAAGATCGATTCTCTATTACTATAAAAGCACAGTCATCATCCTCCTCATATAAAAAGCCGCTTTGCATTGAGAAAAAAAAAGGTAGAAACTACATTTTTCATACCCCGTTGCAAACGCACGGACATGTAAGTGGTTTATATCCATAAAAGTTAGGAGTAGCTATTTGCCTCCTCGTTTTATTTTAAATTGTATTTTTTTCTCCGTTGCCTCTTGTTCTCAACTTTTATCCCTTTCCCACCATCACCTTGCATTGCTTTTTTTTGGAATAAAATAAAATGGGGAGGCTTTTTTGGAATTAAAAAAAGATAAAAATACAATACTAAAATGTATTATTCTAGGAATAGAATAATACGCCAGTTACCCAGTGGTCACTGGTGGAGACGGCTAAGGAGGAATTAGCTAGGATAGAACTAACTTTCTGCCGCTGTTTAATGGTAGTTCAATGGAAAAAAACAAGCGACTATTTAGTCATCGGCTCTGCTCACACACCTAGGTGTTTTGTCTGCATAGGAGTATAGGACACAAGCTACTCACAGTAGCCAATGAAAACTAAAATATGAACAAAACAGTATGGCGGATTAGTTATCGGTTGAATAACATGATTATTAATAGAGCCATCAATTAACTGTGTTAGAGCATTCCCAATCCAATGACTAGGATTGTGTCCATAACATTAAATAAGTTGCCACCTAGGAAAAAAAATGATGTGGCAAGTGAATAAATGAGGAAAGAGAAGGAAACCATGTCTTGCATGAGACATGATTTCTACACAACATCCAAAACATCATGTGAGATAAGTAGCATTAAATTGAAGTATGGAATAGTGGTGTTTGCATTGGAAGAGTAGTGTCTAGTACTAGTTTCTTGATGATGTGGAGTTTATGGAAACCACGTGTGTTATGGGTTGGGACTGTCCTTATTGATATTAATCTCATATCAATTGATATTACTCTCGTTATCCGGACACATAAATTTTATGGAAAGTTTTCAATTCGAAGAAAGAACCGATGCCTCAACTAACCCTCAATCATTGTAGGCTTGTACTCTTTTCATAAAAAAAAACCTAAATCTAAAAGGATGTAATATTTTCTAATATAATGAATTTAGACAACTTTTTAGATTCATTATAATAAAAGATGTCACATTTTAGTATAGGTTGAGTTTTCTTAGACGAAAGGAGTAGCTTAGTGACCGTGATTATCTTTGACCTACGACCGTTAAAAATTCCTTCCGCATGCCGGCCGAAAGAAAACCAATTCCGCACCCGTACACAAAGTCACACACACACCTCACAAAAAAGGCTTCCAGAAAAAAAAATCCACCAAGCGAAAATAAGAAGGGAAAAAACAGAAATAAAATAAAATCAGCGACGAGCCAAACGCCGAAGCGACTCCTCGTTTCGTCTCCTCCCCATCTCTCCCCCCTTCCGCTTCCGAGCCAAGCAACCGAGCGGAGCAGCACAAACCCTCCTTCTCCGCCTCGATTCCGCGCGCGCGTGGGTCCCCCCACCTCACCGTCACCGGAGGAGCAGCACCGGGGGGTCGCTGGCCATGTGGCCCGGCTGCGGCGGCCGCTTCTACTGGGCGCCCGCGCCGCCGTCGCCGTCGGCGGCGGGCGCGAGGGGCGTCGTGGTGGTGTTCGGGTGGGTGTGGAGCGACGAGGCGCAGCTGCGGCCGTTCGTCGAGCTCTACGCGTCGCTCGGGTGGCGCTGCCTCGTCTGCCACCCCGACCTCGTCGCGCTGTGAGCACCGCTCCCCTTTCCTTCCCCCTGCTGCAAGTGGTTTCGTTTGGCCGCGCTACTCATCGCGTGCGCTCGTGGAAGTGGTCGCTTGTAGTTCTATAGCCTCTGCCGCGCGGATGTAATTATAGCTGTTTTAGGTTCAATTTTAGCGATAGCTCGGCTTGTTCAATCGGGGGAGGCGGATTTAGGTTTAGTTTTATGCGACTATATTTTGGGATCTAATTTGTCGGTCGAGGAGCGTTGAATGGATCATCTCCCTCCTTGAAGCGCTTAAACCATGGTTGTTTAGCCATCTTAGCTTGAGAATTGCTGCAGCCGTGTGATCTTTACTTCTTTTTTATGGTAGAAATGACTAGGTAACTGCAGCAAAAAGATGTTTAGCTGAATTGCTTGGTCGGACTTTGATTATCACATTACATTTGGAGGTTTTGGTGTTACAGTATATTGATTGGAGGATAGTGGTAGGTTTTTATTGTGTGGATTTGTGGTAACCTGATCTTTGTATGATCAGGTTGGGACAATTATAGGGATTTTCTTGGATCTCACTGAATCTGTTTAGAAATAACATCACGAGATTTAAATCCTTCTTCTGTTACATTTTGACCTTTAAGGTCTTCTTTTATCTTCAGCCACAATTTCTTAGCATCAGTATTCATAGTCGTTACCCCTTTCTTATTCTCTTTTTCATGTACATATGCTAAGTTGAACTAGTAAGATAATATCAATAAAAGAGACGGAATTTTCCCAGTTTCGTTAACGAAATAAACACTTGCGCCAACAAAAAGGGGAAAAGTAGAGGGGGTGGGCATCATCATGACACACTACGTAACAAGTTCATTTTTTAAAAAAAGGTACTCTATTAATCAACTATCAGAAATGGCAACAAAATAATTGAAACACCAACGAGAACTCACATGATGACACCAACAGCAACTCAAATTTCTTCTAGAAAATGAGTATTACACCCATTACCAACCTTCTTTTCACAGAGACATACAAGGGCATATCATGCCCTACCATAAATGTGACTTCCCAAGTTATCCTTTTTATTTCAGAGAATCTGGAGCCGACATATCTCCTCAAGAGTTAAGAAGGCCTTTATTTCTCGCATTTAGATTGAGCACTCGAAGACACATTTATAAGCTTTTTAATCATTGATATAAATGAATCTATACACAATGGAATATATCGCATTGACTAATATTTGTAAATTAAGTATGTAATATAATACTCCATCAGATAGTGCTGAAGGGTAGGGTTCTTTTTATCAGCATCATTTAATTTGCTGGAGGAGTAATAAACATTATTCAATAGGGTGATTATGGCCTTTTATCCTGAATGAGATATAACAGGGATCTTATACTTGGAGAGATCAAGTGTAAAATTTCAGATGATCCCTTTGTAGATGTTATACTACTACTTCATTAATTCTTTCCTTCATGTAGGTATCTGTCTGAGAAAGCTGCGTCGCTGGCATCTGGTGTTATCAGTGAATTAGTGAAGGTTAGTGCTCTATTGTCTTGGCATACACAACAAATACTGTATTACATAGGGAACACCGATAGCTTTGTTGCTCAAAGTGGGAATTATTAAAATGTATGCTGCTTGGTGTTTTGGCAAGTGGCGACAGTGTAAAATAAGCCCATCCCTGTGTTAGCACGAATAAGCGTTGTGCAGTATACTTGGGAAATTCCTCAGTTTGACTTGTTAGTTCTTTAGCTGTTATATACACATTAAATCCATAGCTGTAACTGGAAATTCATGTGTGTAACTGTGCATCCCTTCATAATCTTATTGTTGACACGGATCTGTGTTATGCATGCTTTCATATGAAAAACATGCATTACTGTTGAAATTTTGTAAAATCTACCAGGAATACTATTATTCTTGATTATTTTTGCAGTCTTTCTGGAATTACATGAAATGGTGCTGTTTCAGGAATTCAAAGTAAAGCCATTGCCAACTGTGTTTGCTTCCTTTTCTGGTGGTTCAAAGGGATGCATGTACAAGGTTATTCAGGTACAAGCCTGACCACTATCTTTTTGAACGATCTGATCGTAAACAATATCTATTCTTTCATTTTATTCTTCACAGTTGAAATGACTGAATTTTCTTGTCTGTTCCAGTTACTTGATGGAAACTGTGAAGGAGATGCAACCATGGTATGCTCTTTCTTTTATGTTTTTTTACCTGAAAGGAGCACATCCATTTATATTCATTACTAAAAACCTTGTACATTTGGTTGAGTGTATTGATCTATTTCATTTGAATATACCTTGTCATCATATCTGCTCTACCGTTTGCATTGTGGATATTGGCTAGTTGGACAACAGCCTTGAATATTTTGGCAAAAGGGTTGATCTATTATTGACAGAATTTTCATTATGCAGAAGGACTATAGGTTGGTGAGAAACTGTATCTGTGGGCAAATCTATGACTCTGGCCCAGTAGATTTTTTCAGTGATGTGGGTACCCAGTTTCTCCAAAATCCTATGATTGGCAACTCATCTCGACCATCCATGTTACTTTCATGGATGACAAAGGCCCTTGCATCTGGAATGGACACACTATTCCCAAGCAGAATTGAAGCTCAGCGTGCAGAGTACTGGCACACACTATATTCATCAGCAGTAAGTCCAGATTTTGCCCATGTGATAGTGTGATTGTTGCATCTCTCTCACTGGTCACAACTGTACCAACTATTTTCATTTGTTTGCAGGGGCTGGGTCCTGTTCTTATGCTTTGCTCTGAAGATGATGATCTTGCTCCATGTCATGTTGTCTGTGGTTTTGCCAGGCGTCTCATTGAACTGGGTACTGATGTTAAAGTTATCAAGTGGAGTGATTCCCCTCATGTTGGTATGTTCTTATGTTCGTATCCAGCTATATTATGTGGAATCTCTGATTACAAAGATTGTAAAATACCTCATTCTGTTTAAGAACATAACAGCTTGGACATTCAGTAATCAGTATGTGACTCTGACCTTCACTTAAATCCCATGACAAATATGATGGCGCTATTTTCACATTATAAGTACTCTTTACCTCTTTGACACCAATCTGATGACAGGATCTAAATTTAATTACATACTTACAATCAGATAATTTTGACTGACACTTTCCAGAAGGACATGTATTTCTTAACGGATGGGATTGTAGGAACATGGATTTTGCATGATCATTCTTGCACCTAGCATTCCAGAGCAGGCATTAATGTGATATTGAATTGTCAATAAAATCAACTGACTGGTTTTGAAGACTCACCTTTGAGCTCATGTCCTAGAACAATTCACAACTGAAGACAATAAATTCATCATTTGCATTATTTACTAGTTAGCATCCTTTCCCATGTATAGTGATGACTTGAAATATTTTGTACCTATCAATTAAGCAAAGAATTCATTTTAAGCTCAGCTATCCAATATGAGCTGTTTGCACATTTATATTGCTAGACATGAGGATGCTATACTTTAATCTTATGGTCTACATTGCAACCGGCGATATAGTCTACAATTATTTATGGGTGTATCATTATCAACTTAAAGCTTTAACATTTCTTCTCTGCTACAGTGCTACTAGACAATTATCAAATTTAATGGACTATCATAATATCAGATAACCTCCCTTGATATTATGCAGGCCATTACATGTTGCATGAAGCAGAATACAGGAGTGCTGTAAATGATACTCTGATAAAAGCTCTTGTCACCTTTTGCCACAGAAGCCAGCTGAATGCCACAAGTGATCAGGAATACAAGATAGCACACTCCGTGTGCAGTCTGCACAACGTGGCTGCTAATTCAAATGAGAGGCTGAGAAGGGTAGCCAACGGCCCCAGTGACCACTTCTTCTTGCCAAGTTCAAAGGACCATAATGAATCTAGGGATCCGGATTCTTTGATTGATGAACAGAGGCGACAACTATCCTATCCACCCAGCATGGAGCCTCAAGGAGTCCTTGGCCAAATTCTGTTTGATGTTTGTGTTCCGAAGAACGTTGAAGGATGGGACATCAAACCAACAGTGTCCCCAAACGGACGGCCAACATTGGCTTCTGCGCGGCAACTCGGCCCTTTCAATCCCATCAAGTATTTTCGACGCTCAAGGCTATAATTTGTCTGCTGCAACTGTGAGTTTTGTGTACATAACGGAGGCAAGATGTCTAATATGACTCTGAGCAAGCTTTCTCCTATGTAAGTTTCCTTGAGATTGACTCACCTGCAATTTCTTTTTTGCACCGATGACTGTACATATGTTGTGTATAGTTATACTAGTGGATATATTAGAAGGGGCCTTCTAGGTTGGGATGGTAAGGTGTATACTAACAGTGTATAGGGGAAGGTGTGCACTATTATGGCCCTAAATTATCTATTTTTGTGCCCCATAGTCATATGATCTAATCTAATTATGAGAACTATTTATCTTCTCTCTCTCTCTTTATAAATTGTAGTTTCTGCTAGCGTCTTACATTGTCTATCGTGATTCATGTTCTCTTGTTTGTCTTTTTTTTTAAGAGTATACAGTCCGTTGTTGTACTAATTATTTTTTTCGCTTATAGATGCTTCGTTGATAAGTTCTTATCACATCTTTGACTCGTTGGTTTCTGTTTAACACGCTACCATGGATTTAGCTTACTGACTAAACTACGGGAAAAATGTTGTTGGCATGCCTGCCTTATCTGTTTACGTGGCTCTTTGACTCGGGATCAATGAGAAGATAACTCTATTTGAAGGGTTTGCTGAAGTTGTTGGTAGAGTTAGCACAATAAGCACCTAAGAAAGCGTGATAAACACTGATTAATTGCGTAAGAAGAATCGAATTTACTTGAACTTTACTTGCAGTCATAATTAGCTGATTCATTACTACGCTCTTGTTCCTTTCCTTTTCCTTCAACTTTTGACAACGTGTTTTCTGACGGGCCAAGAGTCATATCTTGGAACATGTGAATGATTCAGGGGCATTCATGGAATCCTGGTGATAATTGGGTAATTCTGCACAGTTGCTAAACGCTGAGCCTTTTGACTTAGGTGAGGCCGAACATTTGTAGCTGCATGTGACTTGTTAGGGGTTATTTGCTTTTCTCTGTCGTTTCGGTATAAAGTTTATTCATCGAATATGATCTTTGGTATATGTAGCGCTGGCAGCACATGTGTGCGGCGCTTCCCGCTGAATTCGATTAGATGGAGGTTCTCCTAAATGATGCGCTTCTGCTTGAGCACGTACTTAAAGAGAGAACTGTGATCCTACGTTTATTTACAGGAATGATAGTAACTCATGGATTTGTTATTTTATCTAGATCATGCAATCTTTATATTGAGGGGATCCTTGAACTCTGATGTATGTTTACATGGCCGGTATATAGGGATACTGTTATATGGGATACGGTCCAAAAATTTAATAAAACTATAGGCATTGTGGTCTAAGTTGTATAAAACCATAAGGTTTTGACACGTGACACATAACCCTGGAATTATAGTCACAGTTTTATAGAACCACACCAACTATCGTTTGATCATCACTACCATGAGTTCTAAGGGCTGAGTTCTAAGGGCTGTTTTGGTTTAGTGCCAAATCTTGTCCTACCAAATATTTGGTAGTCTAAATAGTACTTGTGTGATATTTGGATGGATGCCAAAACTTGCCAAAACAATAGAAATCTCTACCAAAATGTTGGTAGTACCAAAAATTGCCTAAAATTTGGCACTACCAACAAATTGGTAGGGTTGCAATACAAACATGCCCTAAAATTACATATGAAATTTATAACTTCTTTGATCTATCGTATACTAGTTGTAGCTATCTTAATTTAAGTATTTTTTACTTTGATATAAGAGTAACAAGTTAAATTGGATGGTGTGATTTTGTGAAACTTTTGGATTGCAATACTCGGGTTATGTATTACATGTCAAAACCTCTGTGGTGTAACTTGAATCATAATACCTATGGTTTGGTGAAATTTACTCTATTTTAAAATTTATGGAAATTTATCATATATATGGATGGGCTGTAATCATCAATTTCTATATATTTACAATCTACTAAGGCAGGCCCTGTTTGAAATAGTTGAAATTGATGGTTGATGGATTATCTACTTTTGTGATAGTTATTTGATGAGGGTATAAATGAATGAATTAACTCCTAAAAAGCTGAAAAATTATTCTAGAAAAAAAACTACTATTCCAAAATTATTTTATGTAGAAAATTTTTGCACAAAACACACCATTTAGGAGGTTGGGAAGCGTGCAAATGAAAATAAAAAATCCAGATTTTTTTTAAAAATGGTTTAACTACAATCCAGTATAAAGGAGCGAAAAAGCTACCCCGCGATCGGTCGCCTTCACGGTGCTTCTTTTTTTGGTACCGTATTACTTTCCTATTTTAGTTGTTTATACACCGTTTGTACACCTCAAGTTTACACATATAAAGTTTATACACCTAACGTTTGTATACCCAAAGTTTATACACCTAAAGTATATACACCTAAAATTCTTATACCTAAAGTTTGTATACTAAAAGCATATACACCTAAAGTTTACGTACTTAAAGTTTAATTATACGCTGAAAGTTTATATGTCCGATTCAGATTATGGATTTATAGGTCAAAAGTTTATATATCCGATTCCAATTCAAATTCGGATTCAAATTTTTTTTACATAGAATATTTCTATGCATAAAGTTTATACGTACGAAATTTACTGGATATATTTATAAGTATAAAGTCTATACACATGAATATATTTTTAAGGGTATTAAACTTTTTATTTTCTTTTATTTTTTCTAATTTGTTTTTTAAAATGTTTTGAAATTCATGGTGCAGTAGGAAGGGGAGCAATGGGGGAGGCGCATCGTGTTAGAGGGACGGGTGCGCCCGATCGCCGTGTGCGATCACCCACCCATTAGCTCTCCCATAAGGCCTTGTTCGGTTTAGAGGGGATTGAAGAGGATTGGAGGGGATTGAGGGGAAATAATTCCACACCACAATAGGTGTGGAATAAATCCCCTCCAATCCCTCCCTCATAGGAATTAACCGAATAAGACCTAAAGGAGCACATGTCTGAGTCTATGTCATGAAAATATTAGACACAGTAACTGCTAAATTACTACATTTGTCTTACATTCTGGCGCTTGCTTATTTAGCACACCTTGTGCAGCAATTTTCTTGTCGAATCTGATTCTTCATAAATAAATGGATATTTCTGCATCATTCAAATTAAGAATCTTGGGGACTAGAGGCTTCAATGGGAGTAGTACCAGAACTTTACCTTTTTAGATAATACTAGAACTTTGCTTAAATAACTATTATTCTGCTAATACCCTATGATTCCCTCTACCACCACTTGCACCGGTGAATATTTTACAGAAAAGCACGTAATGATAGAGCAGAGATGATTCACTGGTAAACAAATTGTAGACCATGATGAACATACATTATGTTATTGATCACCAGGGGAAATTTGTTGGGGGCAACAGCTTTAAACTGAAAGATTATGCTACCACGAAAAGAAAGGGTTACTATGAATTTTCCCAAGACAAATGAAATGTTAGAGCTCAATCACTAATGAAATGGTGAACTTTTAAGCTCCACCACCTATTATTCTCCATGCTCATCTTAGAAAAGTATATATGAATTATCTGTCATTTCTTGTAAGTTTAATTCTCAATACAGCAGGTCATACTGACCTAATTTTCAACATATTTCACTTATCCATTACAAATGTACACGCGCACTAAACTAAAAATAACCGTAAGAGTTGCTAGAATCCGAGACACCTGGTCGGCGTTGGCAAATTTATTACTGAGTACTCCTATATTTAGGGGAAATATTTATACTCTCTCCGTTTCATATTATAAGACTTTCTAGCATTATCCATATTCATATAGATGTTAATAAATCTAGACATATATATGAATGTGGACAATGCTAGAAAATTTTATAATATGAAACGGAGGGAATATTATATCACAGTGCCATAACATAATTATCAGGTGATAGCCATGATGCATAGGCACACTCTCAAGACCACAGGAAGAGAGTATACTCCCTCCGTCCCATAAAAAACCAACCTAGTACTGGATGTGACACATCATAATACAACGAACGTGGACATACCTCTGTCCAGATTCATCGTACTACAATATCCGACATCCAGTACTAGATTCGTTTTTTTGAGATGGAGGGAATACAACAGAACACTACTATCACATCTACAACATCATCTCACGCTCTCACCAAGAAACAGTCCCAACACGAGATCCCAAAACGCGTCGAAGTCCACCATTTTTCCGTTGTACTCCCTCCGTCCCAAAAAAATGAATCTAGGATTGGATGAGACATATTATAGTACAACGAATCTGGACAGATGTATGTCCAGATTCATTGTACTAGAATATGTCACATCCGGTACTAGGTTGGTTTTTTAGGGATAGAGGGAGTATCATCGCCCACCTCCATCAATGTGCTTGCTACTCTGTCAAAGACACGAGCATTTCTTTCCAAAACCCAAACAAGTCCCCCAAATATTCCATGTGGATTTTGTGAGCACTCTAGATGCTTTGAAACTCAATCATCTCTGTACTCTTTGCTGCCCTGTACCTTTACACTGCAGGGGTTAGACTATGTGCCACCACCACCTTATCAAACACCAAAAATGCTGCACTTTTAAGCTCCACCGCCTATTATTCCCCTTGAAAAATCCCAAAGCCAAGCACCGCATCCTCCTGCAGCAAAGCTCCCCCACTTGTCATCTACTCCCTCCGTATTTTAATGTACGACGCCGTTGACATTTTGACAAACGTTTGACCTTTCGTCTTATTCAAAAAAAATTATGTAATTATAATTTATTTTATTATGACTTGATTTATCATCAAATGTTCTTTAAAAATAACATAAGTATTTTTATATTTGCATAAATTTTTTGAATAAGACGAGTAATCAAACGTTGGTTAAAAAGTCAACAACGTCATACATTAAAATATGGATGGAGTATCATTTAATATCTTAATCATTTTTCACCCAAAAATGTATCCAAAGTTCACCACGGATATATATCACGCCATCGATCGACCAGTGGATTAGGTAATAGATTGACACGCAAAGCTTTTACATGTTCGCGAAAACAAAATAATAAAAAAAATGCATCACCACCGTCCTGCCAAACGCGCGTGCGTGGGAAACGTGCGGTAAATAGTTGCGCCGTAAAACTCAATAGAAGAAATCAAGAAAGCCAAGCTCTCCCTGATCCTATATATATTGTTCGACGCTGGCTCACACTTGCCTCTCACCCAGACAGATCGAGCTACACACTGAGATAGTAGCTAGCTAGCTGAAGAGATCGATCTAAGTAGAGCAACTGATCAGCAGATCGAGTGATCGAATCAGCTAAGCTAGCTAGCGAAGATGGCGTTCAGGAGGTACAGGGCGCTGCCGCAAGGGGAGGTGACGGTGGAGGAGTTCAGGGCGTGGCTGGGGCAGTTCGACGCGGACGGCGACGGGAGGATCAGCCGGGACGAGCTGCAGCGCGCGCTGCGGAGCCTCAACCTGTGGTTCGCGTGGTGGAAGGCGCGCGCCGGGGTGCGCGCCGCCGACGCCAACCGCGACGGCGCCGTCGCCGGCGACGACGAGGTCGCCACGCTCTTCGCCTTCGCGCAGAGGCACCTCAACGTCAAGATCGCCGAGCTCGGCGCCTCCTACTACTGAATTAATTAACCTCCCTCTCTCTCATACTGTGATCGACAAGTGTGCGTGATCAGGATCGATGTACGTACGTAACTGTGTGAGATTGCGCGCTGTGCTGTGTATGTTTGTGTTTTTGCACATCTTTTGTGTTGACTTGATTTTGGTCTCGGAGATTCCACTCTCTATTTTTACTCTCGTTTCATCGATCACTGCGGGATTTGGAGAAATTATGTGTGATCTTTGTCGATCTCTTTAGGCCCCAATTTAAACTGACCATCGATAGCTTACTAACAAAGGGGAATTCAATTGGTGTTTGGTAAAGGCTATACTAGTATAGATTTTTAGAGGTTAAAAAAGTAAGATAATATCTAAAACGCAATCGATGATTGAGAAAATGGTTACTTACACTAATCATTAGTTAATAGGGCCAAGATAATTTAGGCACCACAATGGACAATTTAATGATTTGGCACTTTATTAGTCCGCAGTACTTTAATTGTATTGGTATTTATAAGGATGCTATATAATATCATAATGAGTCAATGATAATAATGGCTAAGTATGTTTGCGAAAGCGCATGTAGCATAGTTGTTACAAGAGTCTCAGTAGCACCTTAGGTCCTGGGTTTGACTCCCCATGGAAGCAAACTTTTCAGCATTTAACGGCTTTGTGCTTTCAGTGGTAGGCGACGTACCCGTCGACAACGAGGCGCCCGTGGTGATTTCGTCAATCTCCAGGATGCATTTGCCGGCCCAGTCTTCGAAGATGCTCATAGGGGTAAGGTTTGCGTGCGTGCGTTCATACTCATTTGAACAGTCCTCATATTTGCCTCATCTGTAAAGCTACTTGCTGGATCTGAGGGCTTTCAAGGAGACTGATTAATTTGTTTGGACTGAAAAACAACAACCGTTGGATGGTAGATGGACAGTGCACGCACATGATGTTACGTTGTAGCTCGATCCGATCCACGTCCCGTCCTCTTCCTTTGCACGCTGGCCAGCACATGATGTGTAGAGGTAGAGAGACGGTAGTCACCCACTTACCCTTAGATCTCTGTTTTTCTGAGGGCTTTTCAAGAAGTAGACTGATTAATTTGGGCTTTTTAAGAAGGAGACTGATTAATTTGTTTGGACTGAAGGCAAGAGAAACAACAGCCATTGGATGATAGATGGACAGTGCACGCACCTGACGTTACGTCGTAGCTCGATCCGATCCACGTCCCCTCCTCTTCCTTTGTGCTCCCTCCCCGTGCCGCCTGTGCCTCCACGACGATGAGGTGCCAATGCGGCAAGCAATTGGACCTCCACCTAAGCAAGGCAAGCCGCGCTGGCCAGCACATGATACGTAGAGGTACAGAGACGGTAGTCACCCACTCACCCTTGGATCTCTGTTCTTCCCCAGACAGCGTGCGCGGAGTTGAAAAATTTAGGGGCGAATAATTCCAATTCTATTGGTGATGCTCTTAGAAGCTAATTTCATCCTCCATATTGTAAGTTGTAACTAAACATATTTTCACTGAAAAAAATTGATAATTGAGCTTAACATATTTTCACTGAAAAAAAAAATGATAATGGATTGGCCGAAGCAAAACCCCCCGACCAAACCCAACCAAGGCCACACCAGTTGCAGTGCAGCACGACTCCACGAGGCCAGACGGTGCGGCTCGACCGAATCCGCACGCCGCCCGCGGCCCGCTCCTCGGCGACGCCGAGCAACACGACACCTCCGCGCGCCGCCATCCAAGTCGTCCGTCGCGTCGCGTGCCGAAAACCCAGCAGCAACCAGCCAACCACGATGCCGCCGCCGCCGCCGAACTCCTCCTCCTCCTCCTCCTCCTCCTCCTCCCTCCCGCTCGCCGCCGCCCCGATGTCCAACCCGTCGGCCCCCTCCTCCTCCTCCTCCTCCTCGTCGCTGCCCCCCAACCCCCTCGCCGCGGCCTCCTCCTTCCTCCACCACCACCTCTCCCGCCTCGCGTCCCGCTTCGCCGCGCCGCCGCGCCCAGCCCTCGCTGCTGTGACGGCGTCGGCGGCGCCCCCGGGGCCGCAGGGCGCCTCCGCCTCCCTCTCCCTCGCGCTCGCGCCCGACGAGGTCGCGCGCGCGCTCACCGGCACCCCCGTCTTCACCGTCTGCAACTCCAGCAACGAGTTCGTGCTCGTCTCCGACCCCGCCACCGGCCTCCGCTCCCTCGGCCTCCTCTGCTTCCGCTCCGAGGACGCCGACGCTCTCCTCACCCACGTATCCTCATCTTCCCATCTGTTATGCCTTTTGCTGTTTGATTTGTTCTTTTCGCCCTAATGGTTTGGGAGTTTGTGTGGTTTAGGTGAGGATGCGGCAGCCGGTGGTAGGGAGAGGGGCAAAAGTGGTGCCGATTACGCTTGATCAGGTGGGATTAAATCGATATTTTGTGATCAATTTTGTCATCACTCTTCTAGGACCAACTCTGCATAGGAAGAGTTATGGAGCATTTGGGTTTATGCAAGAGTTAAATAGGGACATACAGTTGTATGATAATTTAGTAACTGAATGACATATTAACGAGTAGCAAAGTGGGACCTGGATTTCTTCCAAGAGCAAATCAAGGAAAGCTGCCGTTTCTTATGTGCTGCCCCTTTTACCTAGCTTAGTCTATCTTTTCTTACAACACCCATGCTTTTCTTGCATATTCATGCTTGAGGGTTCTTGGGCTTAGGCTAGCCTCGTTGCAACTTCACTCGTTTCTACTTCATTCAATACAACTAGTATATTGCTTACATTTAACTATGCTGATTATTTTTTATGTTTTACAATGTAAATATACCTTAAGCCGTCCTTCTAAATGCAGGTTTACATGTTGAAGGCTGAAGGTATTGCATTTCGGTTCTTACCTGACCCTCTTCAAATTAAGAATGCGTTGGAGGTTAGTTCTTCTCTGGATTTGTGGCTCTTTGCTCCATCTTATCTATAAGTGGATATGTTTAGTACGCCCATCTGGCCATCATTCTATCTCACTAGAAAAGTGGAATTCAGTTCCTCAGGTTGACAGCATTACTCCTTAAAAGCATCAATGCAGCCATTGCATCTTCCAAAATTCCAATGGACTCCTTATATACCAATTTTACTCCCATTTAATGTTTTTAACTATTTACCAACAGTCCGAGATCTTTGCAGTTTGGGTATGTGTGTACCTATTTTCTGTATCACCACTCAAGACTTTACACATGGACTTGGTTCCTTGTATATATTATTGGTAGAGAAGTTGTACTGTCACTAATCATTGCCTTCACCAGAATGCACAAATGATATGCATACACTAGACAGATGCACGCAGAACACATGGAGTGCTGTCACATGTCAGCCTATTTCATAAGGAGAAAGTCCCTTCCTTGCAAAAGAAAAAAAAACATATGGGAAGGTGGCATTTTAAAATATAGATAATCTGTATTGTTTTTCCTGTTTCTTGGTGTGGACTGTCCACATTCAGTGGTTAGACTTCAGAGTATATCATGGAATGTACAACTCATGCCTTTTCACTCATGAATCATGAGTATATCAGAGCTGACGTCTTAACAGTGTATAGTATGTAGATTATTGCTATCTTATGCATTGTTTCACTAATGTAAGAATGCTAACAAACTTACTTCAGCCCAGTGACGATTATCCTTCGTTTTTTCAGTTAAAATCTGGCTTAACTGCTTTTGATGGTGTTCCTGTTTTCCAGGTAATACTCATGTCTGTATTATTTACTGAAAAATATACTTTTATGGAAAGCATTGAGACATACCCTTTGCGATTATTAAATGTATTTTAGAATATTAACAATAAATGTATTAAAGTTGATTTGCTGATTAATATCTTGACTCAGTATAAATTACTCGTGAACTTAATATTACCAAAGTGCATGGACTAATAGGTAGGTTCTGAAGCTATCTGCTTGTTCCTGTTAGTTATTAGCCCATGCCTATTTATTAAATGTAAATGCATGAACTGTCCTGTCATAATTTCTCGTTATTTGTCACATGTGTGCATCATTTTGTGAAGCTTTAGCCTTATCTTATTGGCACGACTTGTTGTACTAAAATAGGACTAGAAGATAAACGGATAGTCAAAAATTTTCAATTGAAAGTTTAGGCGTGCAGTAGTCTAAACCTTTTCATGGAATATCAGATCTTCTGATGTTTCGATTGTCATAGAACAAGGGAAGCCCTGATTTTCTTATCAAGGAAAAAACTGAAGTACACAGCTTTAGGTCCATCAACGCAGTTGGTTACATGTTTATTGCAGTATGACATGAAAAATCACGTGGAATAAAAGCATCATGGCAGGAGAGAATGCTTAACTTTCTTCCGGAGATGCTTGAACACTTTGTTTCAAGATATTGTGCCATTATATGTATGATTTTCCAATTATTCAGTTGTTTGCAGCACTGGACTTGTGAATTTGACAGGCTGATAGCTGTTTTTGATTATCATAGCGTTCTATCCTAAGTACAGACTATTTAAGACATTAAGTGATATATTCAGCATTTGGTGATTTATTCTTTCCAATAGCAATAATGTCCCATTTGAATGTGCAGTCAGACCTATTGGTTGTTAAGAAACAGAAGAAGCGTTACTGTCCGATATATTTTCAAAAGGTTTGCCAGGCTTCAATTTCTTTCATGTAGTTTACCCGGTCTGATTTAGGTCTTCACCATTTTCGCCTTCTTAGCTCAGGAGGACATAGAAAGAGAACTTACAAAGGCTTCTAAAACTTCTAGAGGATCTGCCTTATCTAAGCAAATCATGGTATGTGATTTTATCGTTATAATATCTGATTGCTTTCCTAGGATCTGATGATGTTGCCTTCAAATTGTGGTTTCTTTAGGTTGGGAGTTTGGAGGATGTCTTGAAGAAAATGGAGGTAGGATGACAGAAATGCGTTCTGGATTGTTTTTACTTAGGAAATACTAAACATTATAACATACTTGTTTCTACAGATGAATGAGAGGAATTCTGGTTGGGATGACTTGATCTTTATACCCCCTGGGAAAAGCCTCAACCAACATATTAATGAGGTATCAGCATAATTTTGTTCTTGCAGTGATACCACAGGGTTTGAGCACACATACACTTGCTCACTTCAAATGCTGTGATGGCCAGCCAATCAATAGTGTCAAGTTGCTGCCTGAGCTTCTTTTTAATACTTTCTTGCTAGTGGTTCTTGTAACAAAAAAGTTCAGGATTAAAGTGAAAAAATATGTGTGGTTTTTTCATTGTTTCAACCTTCAAACATCAATACAAGCTCCACTTGAAGCTGGCGAAGTGTATGAGGCGCAAAATCATCTCTGTTGCAGGAAAATTATTGTTCCACAGAAAAATTATTGTTATGTGCTAGATTACAGTCATAAAAGAAACAATAATTAACGTTGCCATGATCAGTGTGTGTTCGGTGGTCTTTCGGGGATAAAATCCAAGTTTCCCTTATCTTTAGCCACCTGGACCGAAAAGGACGTTCGTGTAATCATTTTGCCTTGTCAATCCATGTTTTGCACTTGTTTCTAACGAAATGATCTGTATTTTCTTTTCCAATGCTACTCGTTTTCATTTATCTTCCTAAACTGAAGAGGGCTAATTGCACACTTGTTCGCTTTATCTTTTCGAATTGCATCTTAGAAAGTCAACGGGCAAAATTTTCTCGATCCACCACAGATGTGTATAATATCTCACTCGTTTAAATTTAAACGAGAAGTATATTATTATTCCTTGATAAAATTTAAACGATAAGTATTAAACTCCATTCTACTCGATCGTGGATCTGCCGATTCCGCGCCAGCACAGAGAAGTCTACGAGTAGCGTCCTGGTGATCCGCGGCTCCGCGCTGGGCCGGGCCCCGGCCATGGCCTCCGCGCCAGCGAGGCTGCCGCTGCCCTGTCGAGAGGAGTAGGAACAACGGGTTGAGTGTGCTTTTCGGTTTGGAAGGTCTCTGTGTACTTAGTAGGGCAATACCATCATTCATTTGGGAGAAATTGGGAGTGGATTCTAATCCAGCGAGAGGATATCCCCTCGTTTGCCTTTTTCTTTCAAATCTATTAACTTATTAAAGTAATAGAAAAAGGAGCATCCACGTTCGCTCTCACGGCATAGAAATTCTCACATTAATCAAGAAAAAAAGTAAAGTCCATATATGTACAATTTAAAAATAACAGAAATTTAGAATTAAAAATAGGGAATATAGATAGAGGAGACTAGAGTCCATATAAGTATATACTTAAGAACTAATTAAAATTCGGAATTAAAAAATAGGAAAACTAAAACTAGAAGTCAGAGTCCCTATTGAAATATAATTTTAAAATAACTAAAATTAGAACTAAAAAAAATGGAAGAAGATTCTATAGCCTATATAGAATATAATTTAGAAAAAACTGAAATTCGGAATTAAAAAATAAAGAATATTAAAAGATGAGTTTAGAGTCCATATAGAAATACAATTAGAAACAACGGGAATTCAGAATTAAAAAATAGGTATATTGAAAAAAATAGTCTAGAGTCCATATAGGAATTTACAACAAACTGAAAGTCAAAATTAAGAAAATAAAATAAAATTAGAGTTTAGAGTCCACATAGAAGTACAATTTAGAAAAAAACTAAAATTAAAATTTAAAAATAAAAAAATAAGCAATATTGGGAGAAGAGTCTAGAGCCCATATATGAACATAATTTATTTTGGAATTAAAAAAAATAAGGAATATTGGAAATAGAGTAGGAATACAATTTATAATTATGGAAATTCTGAATTAAAAATAAGAATACTGAAAGAAGAATATATGGTTCATATAGGAATTTAGAACTGACTGGAAGTTAGATTTAAAAAAATTAAAAAATTAAAAGTAGAATTTATAGTCCATATAGAAAGAAAAATTTAATTCAAAATAAGCAAGAATGAGAGAAGAGCCTGAGTTCATATAGGAATACAATTAAAAAAATAAGTAAAATTAGAAATTAGAAAATAATTAATAACTATCAATACAATACAAAATTCAAAATTGTGTTGCTATTTTTTAATATATTTTAGTGATAAAATATGAAAATATTTAAGCTATTATATGATAAAACAAATATAATGATGCTAGCCGCGCAATCTATGCGGGCTACCATGCTAGTTCAATATAAATAGTTGTGAAAATTTTGAAATTTTTTTTTGACAATGTAGAATATAGTGATATCTATCTATCCACCAAAAATCAATTTCAAATTTGATCTATACATCGAGAAATAAAAAAGACAAATTTAGATGTGAACAATACTACTATTTATACGATGAATTTGTCTTTTTTTAATCTCGGCGTGCGAGTTGAGTTTGAACCTAAGATTTTGTGGAGCTGTATAGATATGTTATATAAGTGTTGTCAATTTTTTTCAGAATTTTTCATAACCATTTTGATGGATTTTAAACAAACGAGGAGACATCCCCTCGAGAGATCAAAATAGTTTTCCGGAGAAATTTTCACTGTCTTTAGGAGGTAGCAGTGTACATTCAAAATTTAAACTAGAGAATTTGGTATCTCATCTTTTCAAGACCATAAAATTACTCTCTATTTGGATATCCCTGGTTAATCTATATGTACAATAAATTTGTGATGGATTGATCTTATTGAGCCATGGACCATAGTAGAAAAAACTGGACTGGACCGACGGTTCAACTGAAAAAAACCGGAACCAGCTCCCTGACCGGCTCGGTTCCCTCAAAGGATCGTTCACGCAATCGACCTAGTGTGAACTGGCTGAACCGGGCGGTTTTCACGCGAAACCGCTGAACTGGGTGACCCTGAACTGGTCGGGTCGCATATTTCTTATGGGCCATGTAAGACTGGACACTGGAGGCCCAACTTACAGCCCAACTTGATTTTTATGTGAGAAAAAATGGTGCAATTGTGGGATTCGACCCCAGGCCATTAGGCGAGATTGCTAGTTAGCGCGTACGCGCGAGATGTTTTACTAGCGCGTACGTACACGTGTCTCGTGGAGAGAACGAGAGAACAGCCATACGACAGTGTCGTTAGAAACGGAAAACGTGATTAGTGCGTAATTAGACGCAAATTAACATCATTAGTTAAAAAATGATTAACACATAATTAGTCGCAATTAACATCATTAGGTTGTTTTTTACTTTTCAAATATAATTTAAGCCTTTCAATAAAAAAATATATTCAAACTTTAAAACTCTCAAGTCAAATTCAAAATTTGAAAAATTTTAAATCAATTTCAAAACTTTCAATTCAAAATTTGAAAACTTCCAACTCAAGTTTTGAAAACTTTCAAGTATATTTTAAACTATTAACTACATTATATATATATATATATATATATATATATATATATATATATATATATATATATATATATATATATATATATATTCTACACCCCCACCCCTCCCATGGGCCAATCCCACCTCCCCCACCTTTCCTAGGGCCCAAAACCCCCCTCCCACCTCAGTCAAAGGCTGGTCAATGCCCCCTCCCGCCAGTCAAACCCGCCCATTGACTCCCTCCACCGCCCACCACTTTGCTGTTCACGTCCCGCAGGAATTCCGCAGTAACATAAAGGTCATTGTGCAGTACCATGACAACTTTCTCGCAGTAACAACATCGAAAAATTGTCATGATGGATCTAGTTTTGTTAAGCACTTTTTTACGAACATCATGGTGCAGATGGATTAGAAAAATATTATATAACGTGAGAGATATTGCTCTCTAAAGATTGAGATTTACTTTTTTTTAAGCTCTCGTCTCTTTAGAACAGCGTAGTAACGTGACGATCAATGTGCAGTAACACGACTACTTTCGACAGTAACAATGTTATAAAAGTATTTTTGTCTCGATCATCGTGTAGTAACAGGACTATTGTCTCGCTGTAACGTTATTTTAAAGCATTATGGTGAAAGCTGTTTAAAAAATAATATGCGATGTGAGAGATATTATTGTTTAAATATTATAATTCTATAAGTTTACTTGTACTAAGCTTGCAATTATGTATTTTTATATGGACAAAGAAAAATACTTTTAGCACTTGTGTTAACTTGTGACCATGCGCATGAGCTACGGTTTCAACGTGAAGAGCTAAATTCTCAGAAGAAAACTGTTGAGGAACAAAGTGTTGATATGGAACGTTTGATGGACCAGAAGCTGGAGGAAACGATGAATAGAATGATGGCTCGCATGGGCGCTGCTGGTGCTGCTTCTTCCATTCCTTCATCCTCTACAAGTACACCAACCAACTAGGTAAGGTTATCATAAAAAATTACCATTAATAGTGTTAGTTTACTTATTCAATAGATTACAATAGTCATCTCTTCGATGTTTTTGTAAATGCAGGATGTGGGAAATCGACAACATCACTTTCATCTAGGTGAGCATCCGATGAGACAGCATCGATATTATCTTCAATTCTACATTTAGATGTCATTTGGATTTATATTTACATCAAAGTGCTCTTTCTGTTTGAGCGCATTTTTCTTTCTACAATAAAGGGTATTATTTTAGAGTTATAAAGGGTAGTTGGAGTACTGCTAGTGCTCATTTATGTGTACTCCATTTTGCTCTGCACTTTTCTTATAGCATTGTAATCTTTCATCAATAAAGGATGCTCTGAAATGGATATTTCAACATGTTCTATTATTATAGTTATAGATTTGCAACAATATATATAGTTTTCCTCGAAAATGCTTCGAGCTGTTTACTTGGTTTCTCAAATCAAATAAATGTAAATTGATATATAAAACATGAAAAAAATCAAATTGGTTAATTTGGCAAAGAGTTAATTAATTATATGAAAAATGTCACTCTTTACGCACACTATAGTGATAAGAATGCTTTGCCATACCTACAAATTTTTAACCACGAATATGTCATCCAATTTGTGGCAAAAACTAATGCAATATGCTAATATTATCTGGTGAAAAGATCGCCACAATAAAATGCATTTTACTCACAATAAATGTATTATTCAGGTTAAAATTTCCTCACAACATTATATAATCTCGTCACTATAACAAATTAACTTGTGAGTTTTCACATGTATGTCAATAATATGTGATGAAACTTTATCATTATTGAATCATACAACTGTGACCATGATTCTCACTAATTACTAACAAAACGTGAGGAAATAGTCCATCACAATCTTGTACATCTGTGATGTCGTTGCGGTCACTAGTACATCTCGTATTTGTTACCACGAACTATCACTATTGTTATGATCATTAGTTTCAAGACTTTTGGTCACAAATATAATTAGTATTTGTGGTTAAAAAAAATTCATCACTTTGTTATTTGTGACGCCAATTTCAGTGATGACATAGTGACAAATCATAAGTTCGTCACAAGGTAGTAACTGTGATGAAAAATATAGTTATAGTGATGATTTTTGTCATCAGTGAAAAGCCAATCCCTTGTAGTGTGCACATGCACTTTTTTAGCACTTGTATTTTGCACAAGATTGAGATTTAAAAATTTAGCTATGCACAAGCAGTTGTGCTGTAGTAGTACCGTTACTACCATATATTCT